AATATAATTTCAATGTATGCTTTGACATTAATCTACTATTGCAAATGTTGATCATATAGCAGTCTGAAGTATGAGGATAATGGAGTTGAACATTCCTGGCATAGTGTCTACAATGATGGATTTTTGAGACAGGACATCTCCTTTCATTACTGATTACAATCTTGCTAATGTTATCTTCTGTTAGTAAGCATGATAAGTCACAATGAGAACAAATACAAGACTAAGGTAAATATTTGTCATCAAAATCAATATAGGTTTGTTTATGTTTATAGGATTGGCTACACAAATAACATGTTGCATTAACATTGATTGTTGACTGAAATTTTTCGAACAAGTTAGTTTTGTTTTTGTTGTGTTTATTGCCAGGGTTAGTTTGACATGGTGTCTGCCTGTAGTAGCTGATTGCCGTATTACTTAACATTATACAGGGCCCTGTTGCATGCTATCCAGAGTAAAAAGGGTTAAGTGTCTTGCCCAAAAAAACAACTACGCCAGCACAGACAGGTCCTTTTCTCAGCTTCCTGAGAAACAAACTGCCATGGGTAGTTGGTGTTGAACCAGGCACCTCTGATCTCCATCTGAAGTTTGGTAAGTCAGTGCTGTATTGAGCAAGCCATCTTAGCCTTCATACCAAAACAAAACATCAGGACCAGTACTTCACTAACAAAGGGGTCATATCTGTGATTTAATTAATTTTTTTTACATTATGAATTAGAAAAAACTCACAAAATTTATTGCTTCAAAATATTTTTGAGGGTACTTTTAGATTGGGAAAAGCTTTGTATAATAATAATTACATCAGTAACAGAGTAGTATCAGTAACAGAGTAGTATTACATCAGTAAGTAACACAGTAGTATTACATCAGTAAGTAACAGAGTAGTATTACATCAGTAAGTAACAGAGTAGTATTACATCAGTAAGTAACAGAGTAGTATTACATCAGTAAGTAACACAGTAGTATTACATCAGTAAGTAACAGAGTAGTATTACATCAGTAAGTAACAGAGTAGTATTACATCAGTAAGTAACAGAGTAGTATTACATCAGTAAGTAACAGAGTAGTATTACATCAGTAAGTAACAGAGTAGTATTACATCAGTAAGTAACACAGTAGTATTACATCAGTAAGTAACACAGTAGTATTACATCAGTAAGTAACACAGTAGTATTACATCAGTAAGTAACAGAGTAGTATTTTTTTTACTTAAGAAGACACAAATTATCCAACAATTCACCTTCTTCAAAAATGTTTTTCGTAGCCATTTTGTTTTGTTTGCTTGATACCATGTTTTCAAACCGTTATAAAAAAACCCACTCATTTAGGCCACTTTTTCGAGGGTCTAAACTTTTGTGATTTTCATTTGAAACAGGGCAAAATATGCCAGTTAAACCAGCTTGAAAGAAATTTGATGGTCTTGTGACATTAATATATGTCCTAAGAAAACAGTCACAAACAGGTACATGTTCATCAAATAAAAACATTTATATAACACTGAATTATTCTGAAGTTGCATCACCTTTGCACAATATATTGTACCTGAACAGGTAAACATATATACAGATCACAGTTTGGTTAGTGCCTCCTGATGGTGTTATCCAGTTAGCATATCACTATCAGTGTCCTGTACAGCTAAAGTTCTCTGTTCAAATCTCAGTATCTAGGACTTGATGCCTACATGTGTACACATTTACTCTGAAATTACGATTTTTTATTAATTTAGTTTATTTTTCTTAAACATTGTAACAGTCTAGAAAATATCACAAATGATGTCAAAAGGTTAATGTTTTCATAATCTGATCAAATTCATCTCAATCGAAAATGAAAATGAAAACTAGGCCATCACGTCAGTTCTTGTGTTTACTTCTTGGTCACTTCATCTGTCAAAGCACGTGAGTGATTGAAACTTTACTGGAAATTGTGAAAGCAGGATGTACGATAGATCTTATATTACATCTGTAACACTATCGGAGTAATTTCTGTAAGTCTTGTACTCTTCTGGAAGTACAGAGTAAAACTCAATGAAATTGGTTACCGCATTTTCTGGGTAATAAGTCACGTCGGTATATAAGCTGCACAGCCAAATTTTATCAATCTTTTTTATTTGATCCATATATCAACTGCACCAGAAAATAAGTCACACCATTTCTTACAATGTAGTTACCATTATGTTGACCAAAGTGCGTTCTTATAACAGTAAACGAAGGCAATTTATCAAACATTTGATAAAGTTTTAACATGAATTATGCACAAATAATCCTTTATTTTACAGATGTATTTCAAAAATCATTGTGATCATTCAAAACCCACAAAAAATAAAAATTCTATTTTAACCAGTCTAATTTTAATTGATCCTACATTAGAATAATGCCTAGACAAATTGATATTTACAGAAAACGATCCCAACATTGATGTCTCATCCTGTAACAGACAGCAAGAGGGCCTGCAGGACGAAGATGTCAATCTGCCTTTAACTGTTGTACAAAACGTCATCAATAATTTACTATATAATTACAGGAATTATGTAATACAATTAATTTTGCACAGAGATTAAAAAAAAATCCTGTTTGTATACACATCTACAAATTAAAGAGCAGTTCTGGATTCATTAGGTGATGTTACGATGTTCTGATGGAAACTGTAGGCTCAAATAACACTCAAACCAACTCATATTGAAATTATAGAACTTCCACATAGACCAATTTAAAAACAGTCCTGATTGTGTTAATAAACTTCAGATCTGTGCATTAAATGAGACATGATGACTAATTAGATGCATTCCTTATTACGTTAACATAGAGCTTCAAGTGTATGTAATGGGTTTCAGTACCTGTTTGTTTGAAACATTATGTGTTCTAGATAAATGGAATAGGAGAAACTGGTCTTTATCCAGTTTACTTGTAGTGTCAATGCAGCTTGGATCAGACAGGTTGCTTCAGGCTTTGTTTTCAAAAACATCACAGGATATACATGTATTTAGGAGGTCAGATCTTGAATTGGCCAGTTAGGGGTGTTTTCAATAATTTTTTTGTCTGAACTGACCATAAGAAAGATGTTTTAATGGTGACAACAGATGCTTTAAAAAGCCATTCAGAGGGGTCCTTAAAGGCACAGAACATATATTCTTGTCTTGGGCAGGTAAATGGATCTCCTTTCATCACATCTACTTGTGTTAAAGCAGAACTCTAAATAATCAATAAGTTTATATACACACCTTCATTACACAAACTTACAAAAGAAACTCAAATAAAAATTATTAATTTATGTATCCAACCCTATAACATCTAAATTGAAGGGGCCATGACAGCTCAGTTGGTAAGCGTTGATCTACTTAATTTTGGGTGAAGATCCAAGGTACATGGTTCAATCCCCCCTACCAATAACAATTTGTTTTCCTAAGGAAGCTGAAGGTGAGAAATGGAATGGAATGTTGTTCATTGAGGTAATCATCTGGATACAAAGAGACCCGGTCTCAAAGTTACCTTGGCTGTTCAAAAGGTGATCAACCCAGGAAACAAACCAGATGACAGATTGTGCTTCACCATCTAGGTACTATGTGCATCAGTATATTATATACAATCAGTGCATATAGTTTTAATTATACCAGCAAATGCAGGTGCTTTTATAATCTCTGATATATATGTACTAAAAAACACCTTATCTGAAGTGCCTCTGATGTAGTAACCATACTAGGGTAAAACAGTACATGAGAGATAAAAAAATACTTGTAATCTTGATTTAGATTTATCAATGATAATTAAAACAAATTGGTACTTCTACCAGCCTTCCACTATCACTGCCAAAACATATCAAACAGAATTAATATGACCTTTCACCTTGAACTTTGATGCTACCTACCAGTATGCCCATATATGGATGGTGTGGGCCAGGTATCGATATGATAACAACGCTCCATTAAATCAACTATATTATAACCATCTATATATTTGTTACTCTAAGACCTGAACTCCTATGATTGCATGAAATTCAATACTTCCTCCTATTTTTATCAAGGACACTTTGAAAAGCTTAATTTGAATTATTGCTATGGAAATTTACAAATGATCTTAAAAATGTTATTTTCCCTATAAACTGTGGAAAACTGTACCTTATTACTATAGGAAAATGTGAGACCCTGGTGTTATAAAATTCACAATTTTGGCAAAGCATCTTTGAATCATTACATCCATGAAGAGTACCTGGTAATTAAATTCTACCATAATCATTTGATCAGAGTTGAGAAGAAAGATTTTTGAAGTGTCAGTAAATATAATCCCTATTGGCTCTACCCACAGGGCCCTTAAGGATGTTAAGAACATGTAATTCACAATTTTGTTTCATATTTAGCAACTGAAGGTTTCTGCATAATTTCAAGAAATTTGGATCCAGATTTTCTTGGAGAAATCGAAAATGTTAATTGTTTACAAAGGATGGCACTATACAAAAGGTGATTACAATAGGTCACCAGAGACTTTGAAACAAACTTCGCCTCAGATGACCTAAAATCATCCTAATGTTCTAAAACAATGTAACTTCTTTCTATAATTAGTAACTAAAGAATGTAATTTTGAATGACTTCAGTAAAATATACAAGAAGTAAAACATTTTTGAAACAGTATAGAAACTAATAAATCAGGTGTATTTTCTTAAGCTTCTATAAGATTCTCTAGATATGAGTGTTATAAAAACAATAAAATAACCTCTATTTTTACAAAAAACCTCATTGTCTGTACTGTTAAAGAATCCGGTCTGAGAAAGACTGCAACAGTCACGAAAATTTAACCACTGCGTAAATAAAGGGTAGGAAATTATATTATAGGTGCTGTCAAAGCTAGGCACTGGATCCTAACAAAGTCTTCTGGATATGTATTGATTATTATTAAAACTGATACATGTATTAGCCACACTTGAAGCCTTTTTTTTGTAAGACACATGTCATTTCTGAACTGATATCTAACAGTATCAAGATTTTTAATGAAACTGTTTATGTGTGTACATACCTGATTTTGGACAACCAGAGCAGGTGCATTGTTCCCAAGTAGGGACTTCAAAGGTTTGGTCTGTGGCTGTTTGTTCATTGCTGCTTCATTCATTTGTTTTGCCTCCTCCTTCATGGCCTCTGTTGGCGCCACATAAAACCGTTTCCTCTCATATTTTTGTATCATAAAGTCTTTCACTTTTTGTTCCTCTCTGGCATCAGGCTCTGGACCAGACCGACTGTCATACAGCCCCAAATATACCTTTCTACAAAACTATTCAAAGTGACCAAACATTAGTGATGACGATCATTTCTGTTTTATAGAAGTGGATACAGAAATAAGTACAATCACACTCATAAATATTACCCAATTAATACTGGTAATGACATAATGAATCCCATAAATGTTTCATCCAGCACATTTTGAAACAAATTAAAAATTAAACCAAGATATCACATAATTATAAAATCACTATCCTAAGAAAGAAATATGTTGTAATAACGTAAGATATTTCTTGAAAATTGGAAAATATAATTTGGAAAACTCATCAAGCTTTACAGCACATGCAACTGTAACAAAGCACAATAAATTAGTTTTAGCAGTCTCAAATCTGAAAGCATGTACTAAATTATGTATCAAATTACAAATATAAACATGTATTTTCAGAAAGATATTACCGGTTTTATGAATGGAATTTATCACATGAATGAATATCCTGCTATAAGTGTAATAACAACCCTCACATAAATATGAATTAATGTTCTTGCTGTTTCCATGGTTACATCACAATTTTATATAGTGTCATGTACATTATGATGACACCAAAGAAAGAAATATAGAGTGAAAACATTGACAATTTTGATCTTATCTGTTAATAAAAAGCTATTTTCAGAATAATCACAACAATATTCAAGACATGTAATAAAAATCTAAGGCTAATTTCTTTAATCTTATATGAAAGAAATATAGTGTAAGATTCAGTATTTATCATCAGTTTACAGCAGGTTCACTTTACCAGGTATGATTTATCACATGTATACATGTGGGAAAGTTTCTTTTTTTCCCTGATGATGGTTTACTAAAGGGAAATAACCCACACGAGTAAATGTGTTGAACTATAGCAGTTTATAATCATGTAGTTAAGAAATATACTTACATCATTTCCATGGCATTTTAGAAATTCCATTTCTTCTGGTGTAAAGCTGGTCATTGATATAGATTTCACACGATGTGGGGGATTTATACCTCGTCTGAAACAATCAAACCAACCTTTGAAGATATTTTTCTATAAATTGAAAGGGCCTCCATAGTTTATATCTAACTATGTAGGGATTCTTTTTACCTCAACATATCTAAGTTTATATCTTATCATGAAGGTTTTTTTTGTTTACCTAGTTTATCTAATTATGTAGGTTTTTTTTTCACCTCAACACATGCATAAACTAAAAGGGCCTCCATAGTTTATATCTAATTATGTAGGTTTTTTTTTACCTCAACACATGCATAAACTAAAAGGGCCTCCATAGTTTATATCTAATCATGCAGGGTTGTGATTGTATAAATGTATTACTTGTTTTAATCCCCATTCTTTAACAAGGACAAGTCACAGTAGTTTGCAGATCCGGGAGATAAAATAGTGTTACTCCAGTAAAGAAGATATGGACCTGCATGGATTTCATTGTGATTTGTTCACTGCTATCAAACAAACCACAATTCAGCTAATAACATTCAAGAAAGACTGTCACATACAAATTGAACAGTAACAGAAATGTAAATAAAACATTCATCTAAGAAGTCTACAATGCCAGTCATCATCAAATCAAATTTTAAAGTTTCTTTATATGGAATATTACTGTGATTTTTTTCCTCTGATCTGTCATGCTACTTATAAATAACTTTTTCTCTATTTATCATTCAGATGAAACAAAACAAAAAAATGCCACAAAAACTCTAGTTACCGGTATGTTATGACATTTGCTGTTTGACTGACGTGATAAGTACCTGTCCAAGCCATCCAAGTAGCATTCATACATGCATGCAACAATGGGATTGTTTACATTTTATTTATGCTACAAACTTCTTCATTCTGATATTTTGTCATGTATTATATCACAATATATTTAAAATTCTGAGCAATATGGGTTTTACAGTTTACTTGTTAAATTTGCTTTCCACAGATTTATAACCCAGGAACAACCAGGGTCATTCTGAAACATGGTCTCCTTGTAATAACTGGTGACTGTCTCACTGAACAACATAAGAGAGACCCATTGTATGTCATCCAGAAAAAATGGAGTCTTTTGCCTAAGGACAAAACTATGACAGCACAGACTGGTCCAATATTCAGATTCATGAAAAATCCAAACTCCCACAGGCAGGCAATGTCAAACCATGCAAATCGGACTGTTACCTCAGGTTAAACATATGCTAACTTAATAATTATCAAGTAAGTTATCAAGGCACCCTTCAGGTCCTGGGTTTTACAGGGTGTAATATTTCACAAGTCAATTAGTTAGAAGATGTATTATTACATAATCCTTAATTTTCTCTGCATTATCAAGTTCGCTTTATCCAGGCTATGATATAAATTTGCAGCCAAATAATATGCAAAGTAAATTTTTACGATATTGTACAGTCAAATACGAAATCTTAAACTCCGACATGTTGACTTTAGCTGTTCTGATCATGATCATATATAGATATATGCTACAGCTACTGGTGTATACAAAGGACGGTATGGAAGATTACAGAAGGTAATGGAGTCACTATATATTTACTTGATGATTATCTGCTCCAATGAATACATAAATACATGGCTTCTACTTTATTCTACTGGGCTACTTACTTGTATGCATGTTTTTTTTTCTTGTTGAATTGTAACCTGTTGTGATTGCTGAATGAATATAAACTTTTCTGATTGAATACAACTGCTGTTGTATGAAATTTCACAATTATAAATCATTCACCAAGTGTATTAAAACTACGAAAAAGTATAGGATGGTCAATGAGATTTTATTAAAGAATCATGCTATAGGATGTACCCTGAGTAATGATAATAATAATAAAAAATGAGATGACAGAGGGGTCTGGGCACCCACCACTGTCTGGCTGCTGTTTATTCTTTTAAAGTCATATCTTTTCTTTAGCTTCTTTCCTCCTTTCTTTTGGCTCTTAATTTGAAGAAATTTAAACATTCCTCTCAGGAAATAACAATAAAAACTACCATCCTCAAATTTAATGATGACCACTTGTAGGCAATTTGGTTTTCATGATCATTTCCTAAATCATAAGGGCACAACTAAGGACCAAGGGATACTTTCATATGAAATTTGAGAAAGATCACTTAAGTATTTTCCAAAAAATAATAATAAAACATTTTCATTGTCAAAATCCAAGATGGCCATGTATCAGTCATTTTTTTTTTTCTGATCACTTCTAAAATCAAGAGCACAACAAGGTACATACATATGAAATTAGAGAAAGCTCCATCCAGTATTCATATATAGTAATAACAAATGTACATTTCCAAAATCCAAAATGGCTCTTTTGTCAGCCATTGGAATCTGTCTGAAAATGGGAAAATGCACAACTAGGGACCAATGGATTTTTTTCTATAATATTTGAGAAAGATCCATTAAGATTTTCCTGCAAACTAATAATGACATACTTTTAATATTAAAATCCAAGATGGTTGTCTGTAACCCAATTTAGTTTTCTAATTAGATGGCTGTCTGTCAATAATTTTACTTTTTCTGATCAGTTCCAAAATAAAATGAGCATAACAAGGAACCAAAGGAGACCTACATATAAAATTGAGAAAGATTCATCTAGGCCTCAAGATATAGGGATAACAAACTTCCATTGTCAAAATCAAATGTCTGTCAGCAATTCAACTTAGTCCTAAAATGGGACAATCCATGACTAGAGACCAAGGGGAACAATCATATGAAAACAGAAAATTATTCATCCAGCACTTCTTCAGAAATAGGAATAACAATGTATTCCTATCAGTATCCAAAATTATCCATCTTGTTCTTCTCAAGAAATAGCAATAACAAGGACAGAAGGATGCATGACGAAGGGCAATTTGTATAGTCGAATATCTGATGATGATGATGGGCTGAAACAGAAATCTAAAAATTTCAAACATTATGTATTTTAATCCTACTTTTGTTTCTTTCTTCATTTAGAGAAACAACTTTATTTACTTTCTAAACATCATTTTCCTGGTACACTATAAATAACTATTACATATGTCATTATCTTTGTTGATATATTGTTATCAGTATATATCACAACTTATTATCCTATCTCTGAACCTATGCATTTAAACACCAACCAAAGTCAACATTTCTCCATATTTCAGAAAAAAAATATTTGTAAATGTTGAGGCAACAACAATTACTGGCCTGGCCTTTCCACTTTCTTGACCTATTTTGTATTTTAATTTTAAGTTTATACCACTATGAAGTACTATTACTAATAATTTTGAAGAAAAGACTAATTGTATTCAAATTGATATTATTTTTCAATCTCTTCAGTTACAGCCTTAAATAAAACAATCTAAAAATTAAAGAGTTTTCTCCACTGACTCATCATGGTTTTGCTTGGTATATATATATCGTAGCAGATACAATATATACATATGTTGCGTTACTTTAGGCATAAGAGTGTTATAGATAATAAAGCATCTCAAATTTATACACATTTTTAAGCAACATCAGAAAATACTTCAGACAAAATTTGAGGTTGAAATATTGCTCTAGCCAGGGCAACACATAGAATTAAAAAAAATTAAAGTACTCATGAAACGAAATTGTAGTTAGACAAACCCAGCTATCATACAACATACTAAGTTATAAGACCTGCATTAACTTTTTTGACAAAAACATATTACAAGCACAAATTAACTGATTTGTCGATCACCTTCGATTTTTTTACTGGATTTTTTTTCTTGTATTAGACCAATGCTAGACTAATGGTATACATTTTTTTTTCATCGTGTCAGTGGTATAATTAGTTCATGACACAAATCATGGTATGATCCGTGATGACCAATAATTATTGATGTTCTATATTTAAAGGTTAAAATCATTTTACAAGGGAGGTAAATTTGCATAATGAGGGAGTTTTAAAGAGACGCCCCCTGTCAAAATATTCCTCTAAAACGTCAATATTTACGATCAAAAATGCATGAAAGATATTAAAGACACCCATCAAATTCTTCCGAAACGTTTAAAACATCGTGAACTATTCTTTCTTTCCGTTCTATTCTTTATTTAAATCAAACGATATGAGATGTTGTTGGAATGACAAGAATATGACAGTACACCACGTTTTGAACCGCACAGGTGTACAACTATACTTACAGTATACCGCTGCATGAGGTACACACGAACGATCCGGCCGTCATATTGACATACGTCGGCCCTCTTTGGTGACAGTCAAAGCACTGTTTGTTATGTGGCAAAGCCGCCATCTCTCGTAACATTTTCAGATGTTTTTCATCCTGTTTTCTCTTGCTCGACGCCATTTTCGTCGACGACATTTTACCGGAAATAACCTTCAATTCAATGGTAAAGGTAGATAACTCTTCGTGAAATAAAACCAGGTACGATGTACTAATTTACTAATGTGATTGCCATGCGTCATCTTTTATATTTAACTATAGACGCTAGACCTGGTCGGGTTTATGTATGTTTACTAGCACAAAGTTTTGAACATTGAATGGGATTATTTATCAAATGATTCGCCTTTTGATCGAATATTAAATTTTTAAATAATTATTCATTTTATTTACAATTTATTTTTAGTTATCTATTTACATTTATTCATTTTATTTATTGATAAATATTATTCAAAAGACGAGGAAAAAGCACTGTGAATAGAAAGGGAAAGCAGGTAGTGGAAGAAAAGAGTGGAAAAAAGTGGATTTTTTAGCATTAGCGAATGCATAAATAAATTTTGAATAAATATGCTGCTGTAAATTTACACGGGCTTGTCTGTGTGATTTTATGAAATGAATATCCGTGAAAACCCATTGTAAAGCACCCATGTGATCAGGTAGGTGAACCCACCTGTTCACGTCCGTTCCAGGAATCGAACCACGGACGTCTTGTTGAAAGGCATGTACGTCACCACTGCGCCGTCTCTGATGGTTAGAGGGTGTATATTAATACTATTGATATATATTTAGCAAGTTTAAAAAAAAAAAAAAAAACCCAAACCACTGATGACGACACATGGTGCAGTTAACATATCGATTACACATCAGCTGCTGATCGTGATCCACAGACTGAACTATTGCAGCAACCCCTCACATCGACCTCAGGTGAAATCTGGCCATTCTGACCTTGTATATGTGTCAAGGTCATTTCATTTCGCAAACATTGTTGGGCTTCTTGTTGAATATAGAGCCATGGCCATGACCCAACAAACTTCCCAGGAACATATTTCGTAACAAAGTTTTATCTAAATAATCATATGTACTGTAGATACGTTTTCATGGTACTAACTGTTTTCCATGTAAATGTATGGAGAGAAGGCGGAGATAAGTTGTAATAGTTACTTATGCCTCATACATTCTTCTAAGGCTGACAATAAATATGTTTAAATTAAATTGCCTTCTCAACTATATCCTGTGTAGTGATGGTAATTTAAAGAACATTTCCAAGTTAGATGCCGTTAAAGTCTTACTTTTCGAAAGAAGTGGTGCCAGGTTTCGTTAAAATTTTGACTGCACAAAGTCAGGATTTCTCACAAGCTGATATTTTCGGCTAGATTTCATATTATGCATGCTTTTAAAAATGTGCTATTTAGTTCCTTTCTTCATGGTAGCATTGAAAGTGTTCTGATGACTTACAAAGCAAGTGTTTTATCTAAGTTTACCTTTTTATTCTTTAGTGGTTGAAGTGTTTATTGACTCAAGGATTTATCTGTAGTTCCGTCGTGCTTTTTATAGCTAGCTGTTTGTTTCGGTAATGTTAATATACAGTATCATAACTAGATATGATTTTGTTAAAAGGGATCTCTTTCAGGAACAATGGAAATTTGCCCACACACCAAATTAAATAAAATGGACGGTATTTTTATTACCTTGAGTGACAACCTATGAAATAGGATTAACAAATTCAAAAGGTCCATAGGGCCAGTGTCGTAGCCATAGGAGTGTGACAGGGTTAAGTTTTTCATCTGACTAAAAGTATTAAATCCACAGCCAACATTACCGAATAAAATAATGTTTATCTAACAAGGACCAGCTCGACAATATTGGTAAATATGTATCAAAATATTCCAAAATAAAAAGAAATCATAATAGTTTCAAAACTGAAAATGTCTTATTTTTTTTGTTTTGACATTTTTTTCAGCGAAGACATTTTTTCAAAGAACTGAAGCGGGTATTTCCAGTTTGAGTGCACCAAAAATCTTTATATATTATTTGGCCATTTATGTCAAGAACATTTGGTAAAAATTTCAGGAAAATCATTGAAGAGCCAAATGATTAGTATTTCAATTTTAGTAAATTTTATTTGGGTTCGACAGGGGTAATTATTTCGCAAAAAAAAATCTGTTAAAACAATGGTGTATAAAGTCATAGAATGTCAGTTTTGAATAAGTATATTCTACTGCAAGTTTCCGTGTCAAAAATAAATGTAAAAAATATCGTTTTTTTCAACAGGTTCTCAGATAAGGACTGTTTTCTTGAACGAAAACAAACTATCTCCGTTTTCAGTGCATCAAATATCTTAATCAAATTATTTGGCTATTCATCTGAAGTGTATACATTAAAAATGTCAGGAAAATTAAAAAAGGTAATGTCAACGTGCTACAAATACGACCCACTTTTATTTAATTTGGTGTTCGGGAACAATTCCCTTGTTTCTGGAAGAGAGTTTTTGAGACAAGGGTCATTATAATTTGGTCTCCAAAATCAGTAGATGGTTACCATGGAGCTTATCATAGAATGTTGTGTACCTTTGGTCAGCATCGTCTACTGATCTGCTTATTTTTGTATAAATACAGGGAAAGGGATAGTAAAGAGGTCTGGTATAATGCAAGTAATAACAAACGTATTACTATAGAGTTGGTATTTCCCACCTAAAGTATTTACCCAAACCTAGCATGTGAGTCAATTTTTCTTCAAAGAAAAATCAACCATTCCAATGTGCAAACCAAATCATTTCAGATGATGATGTTGTATCAATTAAAATGAGGCCACGTTAATCGATAGAGTAGGTTTAATTTCTGACATACGTTCCACGGTGTTGCCCGATATGGCAAGCTGGTTTTGAAGTAATGAAGAAGACTAAGGGACACATCTGAAAATACACGTCAACATCCAACATAGCCACCTGTCGGTCACTTTGTTTCACTGACCAGTCTCAAAACTGAATTGACACAACTATGGACTTGAGAAAGATACCCAATGAGTTTCAGAAATAGCTCTTACGTATTTGTCAATAAATAGCCATAACAAAAATCAACTGTTAAAATCGAAATTTAAAATGGCCACCTGTCGGCCATTTTGTTTCACTGGTGAGATTAAAAACATCACGGACACAACTAGAGACAGACAAAATGTGTTTTCAACAGGTCATCATCATCAGATAATGGGTTTAAAGAAGATGGTTTTACACCAGAGACCTACGTGTTATTTAGATGTAATATAATAGTTTACTAGATCTTCGGAATGAGATTCCTATGTCTTAAGTCAAAAACACTTCTGATGGATGAAACAGGATCTGATCTATAAGCATCTAATTCTGTCTAACCAACAGTAAGAATAAAAATGGGTCAATACTTCTGCTGGGATAAGAATATGTACACCGATAATGATCATTTCATGTCAATATTTACATCTATTACGTTGTTACTGATATTTGCATTTTTACTTATTACGTTCATTTATAACAGTAACAACATGATAAACGTGAATATAAACATGAAATTATCTTTTGAAAGAAATGTTTGATTTGAACATGAAATTCTGCTTGTTCTTGTATCTATATATATGAGGGTTAAAAAATCAAGAAAATACCAACATGGCAACATAGTCGTAATTTAAACTAAAATTCCATAAAACGGGCAAAGTATGAACAAAAGAAAAAAAAAATACACGGAGACTCTTGAAAAAGTACAAGAAGAAAAAGACCATGTGTTCCGGAAGGGTAACTTCTGCTTCATCTGACATTATCTTCTAAACATTGTGGGGGAGTTTTCTACATGTACAAATTTGGTATCAGATGTTTGCTTCGTTATCTTGTAATATCTGTAAACTTAACATACAAAATACATTGGACACGATATCAGAAGAACAATTAAATTTGATCAACCACATCGTATGTTCCTGGTAGACTGCTTAAATGACATACAATTTATAACATTATACTGGTATAGATATATACTCCGTATCAACATAGATACACATACTATAATTTCACGATGGAATTGTATCTATTGTATTGTCAGTGAAAGTAGAGAAATCATGAGTGTAAGGGAGGTGACTCGTGTTATCTAAAAATACCTATGTTATAAATCTCGGGAAGAATTTAGAAGAAGAGAGAAGGAAACTGAGAACATCGTATTTACATTTCTAATCTCATACTCCACATCATTCCGAGACGAATCTAATATTGATATGTAGCTCTCTAATCTCTATCAGTCACAAATACGCCTCGGAATGATATGGAATAGCTTGGGAATTAAAGATGTACAAATCTGTCATAGATTGGCCTCGGAATGATATGGAATAGCTTGGGAATTAAAGATGTACAAATCTGTCATAGATTGGCCTCGGAATGATATGGAATAGCTTGGGAATTAAAGATGTACAAATCTGTCATAGATTGGCCTCGGAATGATATGGAATAGCTTGGGAATTAAAGATGTACAAATCTGTCATAGATTGGCCTCGGAATGATATGGAATAGCTTGGGAATTAAAGATGTACAAATCTGTCATAGATTGGCCTCGGAATGATATGGAATAGCTTGGGAATTAAAGATGTACAAATCTGTCATAGATTGGCCTCGGAATGATATGGAATAGCTTGGGAATTAAAGATGTACAAATCTGTCATAGATTGGCCTCGGAATGATATGGAATAGCTTGGGAATTAAAGATGTACAAATCTGTCATAGATTGGCCTCGGAATGATATGGAATTGCTAGGGGATGAGAGATGTACAAATATGTCATAGATTGGTCTCGGAATGATATGGAATAGCTAGGGGATGAGAGATGTACAAATATGTCATAGATTGGCCTCGGAATGATATGGAATAGCTTGGGAATTAAAGATGTACAAATCTGTCATAGATTGGCCTCGGAATGATATGGAATAGCTTGGGAATTAAAGATGTATAAATCTGTCATAGATTGGCCTCGGAATGATATGGAATAGCTTGGGAATTAAAGATGTACAAATCTGTCATAGATTGGCCTCGGAATGATATGGAATAGCTTGGGAATTAAAGATGTACAAATCTGTCATAGATTGGCCTCGGAATGATATGGAATAGCTTGGGAATTAAAGATGTACAAATCTGTCATAGATTGGCCTCGGAATGATATGGAATAGCTTGGGAATTAAAGATGTACAAATCTGTCATAGATTGGCCTCGGAATGATATGGAATTGCTAGGGGATGAGAGATGTACAAATATGTCATAGATTGGTCTCGGAATGATATGGAATAGCTAGGGGATGACAGATGTACAAATATGTCATAGATTGGTCTCGGAATGATATGGAATAGCTAGGGGATTAGAGATGTACAAATCTGTGATAGATTTGTCTCGGAATGATATGGAATAGCAAGGGGATTAGAAATGTACAAATCTGTCATAGATTGGCCTCGGAATGATATGGAATAGCTTGGGAATTAAAGATGTACAAATCTGTCATAGATTGGCCTCGGAATGATATGGAATTGCTAGGGGATGAGAGATGTACAAATATGTCATAGATTGGTCTCGGAATGATATGGAATTGCTAGGGGATGAGAGATGTACAAATATGTCATAGATTGGTCTCGGAATGATATGGAATAGCTAGGGGATGAGAGATGTACAAATATGTCATAGATTGGTCTCGGAATGATATGGAATAGCTAGGGGATGAGAGATGTACAGATATGTCATAGATTGGTCTCGGAATGATATGGAATAGCTAGGGGATGAGAGATGTACAAATATGTCATAGATTGGTCTCGGAATGATATGGAATAGCTAGGGGATTAGAGATGTACAGATATGTCATAGATTGGTCTCGGAATGATATGGAATAGCTAGGGGATGAGAGATGTACAGATATGTCATAGATTGGTCTCGGAATGATATGGAATAGCTAGGGGATGAGAGATGTACAGATATGTCATAGATTGGTCTCGGAATGATATGGAATAGCTAGGGGATGAGAGATGTACAGATTTGTCATAGATTGGTCTCGGAATGATATGGAATAGCTAGGGGATGAGAGATGTACAGATATGTCATAGATTGGTCTCGGAATGATATGGAATAGCTAGGGGATTAGAGATGTACAGATTTGTCATAGATTGGTCTCGGAATGATATGGAATAGCTAGGGGATGAGAGATGTACAGATATGTCATAGATTGGTCTCGGAATGATATGGAATAGCTAGGAGATAAGAGATGTACAGATATGTCATAAATTGGTCTCGGAATGATATGGAATAGCTAGGGGATTAGAAATGTACAAATCTGTCATAGATTGGTTTCGGAATTATATGGAATAGCTAGGGGATGAGAGATGTACATATCTGTCATAGATCGGTCTCGGAATTATATGGAATAGCTAGGGGATTAGAGATGTACAAATATGTCATAGATTGGTCTCGGAATGATATGGAATAGCTTGGGAATTAGAGATGTACAAATATGTCATAGATTGGCCTCGGAATGATATGGAATAGCTAGGGGATTAGAGATGTACAAATATGTCATAGATTGGTTTCGGAATGATATGGAATAGCTAGGGGGTTAGAGATGTACAAATATGTCATAGATTGGTTTCGGAATGATATGGAATAGCTAGGGGGTTAGAGATGTACAATTATGTCATAGATTGGTTTCGGAATGATATGGAATAGCTAGGGGGTTAGAGATGTACAAATATGTCATAGATTGGCCTCGGAATGATGTGGAATTGCTAGGGGATTAGAGATGTACAAATCTGTCATAGATTGGTCTCGGAATGACATGGAATATCTAGGGTATTAGAGATGTACGAATCTGTCATAGATTTTGTCTTGTACAGACATGTCCATCACAGATGTGTGTAAATGACACGTGTACTTTTGTTGTAGAAACTTAATAGAACTAACTTAATGTTCATTTACATACTATAAATTCATTTAAATTAAAAAAAAAAAATGAAACAAAAAACCAGTATAATTTGTTTGGTGATATTTTTTTATTGAAATATAGACTAAAACAATTCAACGTGTATATTGCCTTATAGATTAACAATTAAAAACTAGCAAAAAATAACATCAAACCTCTGCAATGCTTCTAAATCATAAAGCTTGCATGTGTCTGATACTTATTGTAAAACTCTCATAAGTTGGTTCTGTAATAATGCAAGGTTTAAAAGCTCGGATTTTTGAACGATAATCATTTTTAATAACTCTGCTTAGTAACCTTCTCATATATAAATGTCCTTATTCATTATGTCCTTATTCATTATGTCCTTATTTACAATATCATTTTGATTGCTTGTTTGTAGTAAATGTCCACAATGTTTTAAAATGTTTGACATTATCTGCAAAATAGGTTTTCAAATAAAATGATAGAAATAAGGAATCAACTTCTATCACTCAAGTCTCTAACAATAGTAAATAATTGATTGAAAACATTATTTGTTCTGGTTACCATAAATATATATGATGACTGTTTACCATATACATAATATATTCCTTAATACAAAGAATTGTAAGTTGGAAAAATTAGTTAAAGAATCACTAAGCATCTGTATAAATATTTTGTACATCAAAAATTTTGTTTTTTTCATCTGATGTTCTTTGATTCAATCTTTTTCCATCCAATATTTTATCACTCTCTCTGAATTCACTAAAACACAGCCATGCCAGACAATGTACTACACTATGTGCTTAATCTCTCTCATTAATTATGTGTCAGCAAAGTTTGATCTCTCTGTACCTACAAAGTCAACATTGTAACTACAACTTAGCATTCTGCTGTGCTTCTTTCTGCTTGGCGTAGACGCCCCTAACTTTATTTACTATCTTGTTTGATTCTTCAAAATATGGAGCAGTTCTTTCTTTGACACGATCAACCCAAGCTTTCACTACAGCATTGGACTCATAAATATTCTCCTCACAGGAAGCATACAGCTGCATCAATTCACAGACACCAAGCAGGTCAGCCACTGATATATCTGAACCGCATAGGAATGGCTTATTGCCTTTCAGAAAATAACTGTCAAGTTGTGATATCACAGTTTCTAATCTGTTTCTGGCATTCTCTACCATGGGCCACTGTACTGGAGCTCGCATGGCTCTCGGTATAATCACCTGAAAACACAAAAATCTTGAACATTAATATGTGTAAAGAATCAATTTGTTTTAACTTCATCTACTTTGTAATGGCTTTCAGCACTTTTCTGTTTTATTTGCTTATTGTGTCCAAAAGACCATTAGAATATTTCAAATTGTGTGATATAAATCTCACAACCCAAGGGTACAATTTTAAAGATTAGCATTAATTTTTCTAAGTGACAAACCTGAAGTCTTATAAGTGTCTACATCACACCACGAGTGATTAATTATTTTTTCTCAAAAACGTTTTTGATAATATGATTATTGCAAGTTGTTGTGGTAAAAAGTGACTGAATTCATTGTTATATCATAATTGAAATGTGTGACAAAATCTAAACAGTACAGTACAATGGTGATGTGTTGCACTATATAAAGCTGTGATGCTGGTGATGTCAATAAAAGAAAATTGTAACTTAGCAGTCTTTTTTTTAAAGGAAAGATATTTGTAGGAAGTGTGAGAGGAAAAAGTGTGGAATAAAGTCCATTAATTTCCGTTACACCTATGAAAGATTTAACATTAATGTACAACGAAAATCTGTACACAAGTTAGGAAAGTCAAGTTCATAACAGCTCAGAGAAAGTTACAATAATTATAAGTTATAAAGACTAAATAATGCTCTTTCGTTGGCCAGAAATGATTGTAAAATCTTTAATAAAACCTTATAAGACTTTGCATTGTGAAAAGTTCCAGCTGATGAAACTGTAGTACAGTTCTGTGAAGAAGACACATGACAAGTCTATGTAGATGATCTTTTTGCTTTCGGTTATTCCTGACAAACAACATACAAATACACACTAACCAGTTGTTGGAAGATCATGCCGCAGTTGTAGCGAGTGTTCAAATGTTGATAGTTCATGTATTCATCGACCCTGGCCTGAGCCTGGAGGTCACTACGAGGATACCAGTGATCAGGCACATTATGCTTCAAGGCTAGGTACTTCAGAATGGCTACACTATAGAGTAAACAGAAACACAACTGTAATAAAAGACCATTCTCGACTGTCAATTTGATGAAGCAAAATAGGAAATTAAAGTAACAGCAGAATTATTATTATTATTATTATTTCTATCTTATCAGCCTACTGACACATAAAAGGTCATTAGGGCCATCAACCTGTGAAACACACAGCGATCCAAATAAGGAAGGAGCATCAAACAAACTAAAAACGTAAAAGACAAATGCTAAAAATCTAAAATGGTTATATTATCCCAAAAGATTAAAATGGTAAGCCATATTATATAATAAAGAGCAACATCTTTCAGATAACCTAAAATTTTATAAACCTCAACAGTTTCAAAAAGAGTCTTTAGACTTGTAACGTTACGATAAAAAAATTCTCCAGTAGACAGAATATCAATGCAGTCAATAAAAAATGTTTTAACAGTGAATGGCTTATCACATCCTATGCACTGAGGATTATCTTTGCCTTTCAACATATATGAATGTGTAAGGTATGTATGACCCATCCAAAGACAGGCAAGGACAACTTCGTCTTGGCGGTTGTCTCTATAGCATGGAGCCATTCACTGATGATAGGTTTTACAGAGTGCAATTTATTATTGGTATATTGATTCCATTCCTCCTGCCACTGAACTGTTAAAAATTGTTTAATAAATGGTTTAAAATCAGCTAAATGAAGTTTAAAAACAGGTGGTAGTGATAAAGCTTCCTTCGTAGCACGATCTGCTTTTTTCATTTCCTGGTATTCCCATGTGCCCAGGAGCCCAACAAAAAACAATACAAAAGTTAAAGGCAAGTTAATGAAATGGTATTAATGAATTACGAAAGAAAATATTTTCCCTATTTCTATTGCTTAGACTTTGTGGTACAGAAAGAGAGTCCGAATAGATAACAGCTCTCATCACTTTGTTTGTTTGAATATGTTCAAGGGTGTGGCAGATAGCTCGCACTTCTGCCGAAAATATTGAGGTGTTGTTCAATAGCTGGCATCCATAGGCTGTGGCAACCTTATCATTATTTTTTTAACCATAAGTATATAAATGTAGAAATAATATATATCTTAACACCGGAAGATCAGAATGTTGCAAGGAAAACCTTTACTATAACGCTAAGAGTCATAACTTTATATTTTGGATTATTTTTTTGGATCGTGGGGAGGGTCAGAAAATTGACAATTATAATAAATCCAGAACTACAAACATTTGAATTGCGTGAATGACCACAACCAGAAAAAAAAGTGATAAATACTAAGAATACAAGGAAACTAAGATGACACACACAAAGTCTGTAAAGACAATGTATTTATAGCTGTTCATAGTATATTTTATCAGTTTAAGCTTGAAAGGTAGAAATTCTAGCAAAGATTTATTTTTAATTTCATGGGTACCTTTTTACTTCTATGTGTATCTATTTTGCAAGTTTCACTTTAGTGCATAAAGATGAATATTGCATTAGAGTTGTCTCCCTTTCTACTTTGTTATTCTAGTAATACAAATGATAAGATGTTTGATGTTGATGTAAAGACATTTAAAAAGTACTCATAAATGTTTTAATGGTTGCCCTAAATGATACATAAGTAATTGGCTTCAGCTGTTGAAATTTGAAAATGTTAACTATTACTTGAAATCATTATGGCTTTTGCTGTAAAACATATACTTACTCACTACAAAATATTAAATAACATGTACTAAAATGACTTAGTAATTGACATTTAAAGAGATGGTTCAATCTAAACCTACATCCTTATCATCTTCATCATTCAAAGTAAACCATACTCATGCATATCACTGGTATAGTGGCACGGTTCTTTGAGTAAAACTCGTTGTTAAGGAGACATAAAGCCTAAATGGCTAAAATTTATTGAGTTGTATTCAGCAGAACCTGTTATCCTCAAACTAAGATAAATAAAATAATCCACAGAGTTAGAAATAAACATGAACTTCCATCATCTTTTAAAACATTAAATGGTTCAAGATGCTGACTAAGAAATCCACAGTATTTGAACTGATATCAGACAGAGCGAGTTGAAATTCAGGAAAAGTTCACATAAGTCTACATATAGACAAAGGAAATCTAAATAGACAGACAAAATCTACATACTGACATAGCAACTATATGTACAGACAGACTATGTCTTTATACTGACAGACCCAGTCTATATACAGACAGATCAAGTCTATATACAGAAAGACAATGTCTTTATACAGACAGACCCAGTCTATATAAAAGTCTACATACAGACCTACCAATTCTACATACAGACTAAATAACATTTTCCAGAACATTTATGAAAACTAGGGGAATGTTACTAAGAAATCTACAGTATTGTACACTCACTGGTGTAATAACTCTAATTGTTTCAGTGTTCCTTGGGGAGTATTTAATTTCCTGATGATTTAATACAATTTTATCCTTATTTTCAATACCTCTCTGTCAGCACAAACCCATCATCATCAATAACCGGTACCAAACTGAAAGGATTCAACTTCTTGTATTCATCTGTATGGTGTTCTCCTGAAAAGTCAGAGATTGGATGAATTACAGTAATTCACAAACCATACACAACAGATCCAATCATATTTGTTATATGACATACAGGTTTTTTTTAATTCCCACCATTTGATAGTAAAAGTTGATAGTTCAGGTTACCATGCTAGCCAGTGGGGATTCCCTTTAGTTAGCATAAAAGTATCTATCCCGAAAGTGAAATGTTGCTTGTTTGAGCCCCAGTGGGGTCAGAACATGTTATATATAGCTCCTCCCTAGGAATCAACAGAAAATGCCGTAAAATATCGCTGATTATATATTGTACGTGTCTAAATGCATGATAGTGCATAAATGCCAATGAATCATATATTTGCATGTATACGCCGTAGCATACTGTAAGTACGATATGTAGGGAGTTTGATACTCGCACCAGAGAGCGAGGTCCAAACTCCTTGGTCGAAAGTTCAGAAAATGTGACGTTGGAAGAACACCCATTATATTTAGGTTCTAATCAAAATCTTAGTGTGTCATCTCTCAAAAACAATACAGAAAGACTTACCATTCCTAAGAGCAACTGGTTTTGGTACAAATGGAATGTTATTCACCTTTAAAAAGATATAAACAGCCCGAGATGGCTGAGACATTAAATCGTAGTAGTACTTGAGCGCCATGTTTGGGATGTACTAAATACGGAAAGTATGACGGATTGAATTTCCGGAACAACTGATGAGATAAGTCAATTGCAAATGTTTCCATTAAAACCGTCAGCCACGTGTAAAATAGAAATGATATAAAAAGGATTGGACACTGACTATAGCTCTTTGAAAAAAAAAACTACAAGAAAGAAATTGGACTAAGTTAGCCTTACTGTGTTTAATGTTGACATTTTTTTTTCTCCAAAGTACATTAAAACCGAACATATTAATCGTTTAAAAATTAACAGTAGTAGTAAGCCAACTTATGTTCAGACTAAACATTCGTAGCTTCTGTGACAAATATTTCCCATGTACTTTTGATTCGTACGTTAATATTATTTGTTTCTTGTTAAAAACTGAAATATAACTCTATATTGTGTTCCGAATCCGGACCGAGAAAAATGATAACAATAATAATAAAAAAATCACGAAGAAATTTTTTTCTGGATCAATGACATTAAATGTACATGTCACTGCTTTTAAGTTCAGTAAGAATTAGGGTTATTTGAGACTTCAGCTGTCGTACTAGTGCTAAGTCGAATTTAAATAACATTCATTACTTTCAGAAAAAAAAATCACGATTTCTATTGTTTTTATCTTTACAATTAAAAACGTCGGGATGCCCATATAACATTACATGTATTATACGTTTCAAAACACCTGTAATTTATCTCTTTAAAAATAAGTTGGTTTTCTATAAATGATGCCTATAATATGAATTAAATGTAGGCGGTTAATTTTTTTGAGTTCAACTTTTTGTTCTGGAACTTAATTCCTTTTAACAACTTATTTCATTTTTCATTTGAATAAAAAAGAATGATATCAGACGTATAAGAACAAGAGGCCATTAGGGCCTGTATCGCTTACATGAATCTTAAAACCAATCAATGGTATACATGCCTACAAGCTGTGTATTTTAAATATTTCGAAATTAAAGCTCAGTCACGTAACCTCTTTGATGAGGCAAGCTTTATAATGTGTTAATTCTTATATCATGACTGTCTTTCCCTTTTGATGCCAAGAAAGTGTTTATTTGATTGTCGGGTTGTTATCTCAACTATGTCGAAAATACCTCTAAGAAATAATGAGTTTAACTCTTGACGCCAAGCAATTATATTTATATTATATATGGTAATGGGGTGAGATTTCAAATGTTTCAAAAATATTACCCAGAAATCAAGTCCAGAGGGGTGGGGCCAAACCCAAAGGTCACGTGAATGTGTTTATTTCTTCATGTTCATCATTGCTATATATTGCTTAAGGATGGTGATCTCAACTGTTTCAAAGTTATTACCAAGAAAGTGGGTCCCCAGGAGAGCGGCAAGACCACAGGGTCAATCATTACATCATGATTTTGTTTATCTTTTGATCCTCAACATACTATACACGGTTATATGATAGGGATCTCAACAGCTTCAAAGTCTTAACAAGGGAAATAAGTCCATGGGGATGGGGACAGACTCAAAGGCCAAATGCCCGTAATTGCTATATATGGTTATGGGGTGGGGTTCTCCACTGTTTCAAAGATATAACACATTTCCCACATTAAGCCTCCATCCCCACATGATCTTGGGGGCCAAGATAACACCAGTTATATAAAATTAATTATCCTTCACCCAAACATGCTACATAGGAAATTTAGGCAATATCCAATCATTCCTACGAGAGGAATAGGGTTTTAAAGAATCCGTTCCATCTCCCACGTTGCGCCACGCCCCTTTCATCCCCAGGAGGCAGAGGAGACCCACCATTTATACAAAATCGACTTCCCTTTACCAAAATATCCTTTACACCATATTAGGCCAAAATCAAGTTTTCCCTACAGGAGAAGTAAGAATGTTTAAAATTTGCCCCATTTCCCATATTGGGCCGCGCCCCTCCTGTCTCCGGAGGACGAAACCGACGTTTATAAAAAATACAAAATTGATTTCCCTTTACCCAAACACCTTTAATACCACATTTCGACAAAATCAAATCATTCCTACAGGAGGATTAATATTTTATTTAATATTTTCTATTTCTCCTATTGGGCAAATCAATCTTACGGGAGGATTAATATTTTATTTAATATGTTCTATTTGCCAGGTGAGATAAAATCTTAATTCAGGTTTATAGGAGCTGAGGTCCTAATGTTACTTGTCTGTAGAGATATCTTATAACTGAGCCGAAATCTACACTGACTAATTATGATTATGTATTTTTAGAATGGGACATAATGTTTTCAGAATTATAATTGGAACATAAAGAAATGATTACAGATGGATAATTGAAGTACAATGACGAAGTTCGTTGTGGATGGCAAACATTAAAACTACAACATAGCGAGTTTATGTAACATATAGCGACTACTTGCACTATGTTCGCTGCCTACTTCTTACTTCTTATTTTTTTGTTTACTTTCTACTGCCTACCGTTAACTGTGTATTGTCTACTGCTAATTACCTACTGTCTACTGCTAAATACCTACTGTCTACTGCTGACCACCTACTGTCTACTGCTAACTACCTACTGTCTACTGCTGACTACCTACTGTCTACTGCTGCCTACCTACTGTCTACTGCTGATTACCTACTGTCTACTGCTGCCTACCTACTGTCTACTGCTAACCACCTACTGTCTACTGCTAACCACCTACTGTCTACTACTAACCACCTAATGTCTACTAAACTACATTCTGTGTACTGCTAATTACCTACTGTCTACTGCTAACTACCTACTGTCTACTAAACTACATTATGTCTACTGCTAATTACCTACTGTCTACTGCTGACCACCTACTGTTTACTACTAACCACCTAATGTCTACTAAACTACATTCTGTGTACTGCTAACCACCTAATGTCTACTAAACTACATTCTATGTACTGCTAACTACCTAATGTCTACTGCTTACTATCTACTCTGTACTGCTAACCATGTACTGCCTATAGCTAACCACCTTCTGCTTACCGTTAATTGTATATTAGCTACTGCTAACTCCCTACTGAAAAATTAAAAATTAAAAAAAAAAAAAAAAACCCAAACAAACGAACAAAATAAAAAACAAAAACATACAAACAAATTTGTTCTAGATTTGCTCGGTATGTAGACTTGGTCTGTCTATATGTAGTCTTGATCTGTCTGTTAGTAGACTTGGTCTGTCCGTTAGTAGTCTTGGTCTGTGTGTAAGTAGACTTGGTCTGTCTATATGTAGACTTGGTCTGTCTGTTAGTAGACTTGGTCTGTCTGTAAGTAGACTTGGTCTGTCTGTTAGTAGTTTTGGTCTGTCTGTAAGTAGACTTGGTCTGTCCTTAAGTAGACTTAGTCTGTCTATAAGTAGACTTGGTCTGTCTATATGTAGACTTGGTCTGTCTGTAAGTAGAATAGGTCTGTCTATATGTAGACTTGGTCTGTCTGTAAGTAGACTTAGTCTGTCTATAAGTAGACTTGGTCTGTCTATATGTAGACTTGGTCTGTCTGTAAGTAGAATATTTCTGTCTATATGTAGACTTGGTCTGTCTGTTAGTAGTTTTGGTCTGTCTGTAAGTAGACTTGGTCTGTCTATATGTAGACTTGGTCTGTCTGTTAGTAGACTTGGTCTGTCTGTAAGTAGACTTGGTCTGTCTGTTAGTAGTTTTGGTCTGTCTATATGTAGACTTGGTCTGTCTGTAAGTAGTCTTGGTCTGTCTATAAGTAAACTTGGTCTGTCTGTAAGTAGACTTGGTCTGTGTATATGTAGACTTTGTCTGTCTGTTAGTAGACTTGGTCTGTCTGTAAGTAGACTTGGTCTGTCTGTAAGTAGTCTTGGTCTGTGTATATGTAGACTTTGTCTGTCTGTTAGTAATCTTGGTCCGTGTATATGTAGACTTTGTCTGTCTGTTAGTAGTCTTGGTCTGTCTGTAAGTAGAATAGGTCTGTCTATATGTAGACTTGATCTGTCTGTAAGTAGACTTAGTCTGTCTATAAGTAGACTTGGTCTGTCTGTAAGTAGACTTGGTCTGTCTGTAAGTAGAATAGGTCTGTGTATATGTAGACTTGGTCTGTCTGTAAGTAGAATTGATCTGTCTATAAGTAGACTTGATCTGTCTATAAGTAGACTTGGTCTGTCTGTAAGTAGACTTGGTCTGTGTGTAAGTAGACATGGTCTGTCTGTAAGTAGACTTGGTCTGCCTATATGTAGACTTGGTCTGTCTGTAAGTAGACTTGGTCTGTCTGTAAGTAGACTTGGTCTGTGTGTAAGTAGACATGGTCTGCCTATATGTAGACTTGGTCTGTCTGTAAGTAGACTTGGTCTGTCTGTAAGTAGTCTTGGTCTGTCTGTAAGTAGACTTGGTCTGTCTGTAAGTAGACTTGGTCTGTCTGTTAGTAGTCTTGGTCTGTCTATATGTAGACTTGGTCTGTCTATATGTAGACTTGGTCTGTCTGTAAGTAGACTTGGTCTGTCTGTAAGTAGACTTGGTCTGTCTGTAAGTAGACTTGGTCTGTGTGTAAGTAGACATGGTCTGTCTGTAAGTAGACTTGGTCTGCCTAGTCTTGGTCTGTGTGTAAGTAGACTTGGTCTGTCTGTAAGTAGACTTGGTCTGTCTGTTAGTAGACTTAGTCTGTCTGTTAGTACACCTCGTCAGGCTGTATGTAGACTTGTTCTGTCTAAATATATGTATAGAACAAATAAAGATATATGCAGCGAACAGAAAACAGCACGAATGTAACAAGCGATACATATTAAGCAGCATAGCAGTTAACATAAATAGCACGTAGTACATGTAGGTAAACAACAGGCAAGGTGCTGTAGTGCAATCCTGTTAACGAAACCGAAACTGATTGCGAATCACAATTCTTACATTTACAGTGACGAAAGATTACATAAATAAATTTCGGGATACGCTCTTATCTTAGCAACGGAAACAACTACATTTGAGAGCAGAGGACAAGCAGTAAGTGAAACGCTTTTTTTTCTCAGTTTCAGTTTCAGTTTGACTGTGGCAGATATAAACAAGATAACGAAGTTATGTAATCTGTAGGTGTAATCGATACGTACTTTAGACTTTTGATTCTGTTCAGTGTTACAGAGTAGAAGTAGCAGGCCTTAGGAAGAGATAGGTAATTAACAATCACTAATTCTATATTACTTACTGGGAGGTAAGTTAGATAGGTAATTAACAATCACTAATTCTATATTACTTACTGGGAGGTAAGTTAGATAGGTAATTAATAATTACTAATTATATATTACCCACTGGGAGGTAAGTTAGATAGGTAATTAACTGTCACTAGTTCTATATTACTTACTGGGAGGTAAGTTAGATAGGTAATTAACAATCACTAATTCTATATTACTTACTGGGAGGTAAGTTAGATAGGTAATTAACAATCACTAATTCTATATTACTTACTGGCAGGTAAGTTTGATAGGTAATTAACAATCACTAATTCTATATTACTTACTGGGAGGTAAGTTTGATAGGTAATTAACAGTCACTAGTTCTATATCACTTACTGGGAGGTAAGTTAGATAGGTAATTAATAATTACTAATTATATATTACCCACTGGGAGGTAAGTTAGATAGGTAATTAACTGTCACTAGTTCTATATTACTTACTAGAAGGTAAGTTAGATAGGTAATTAACAATCACTAATTCTACATTACTTACTGGGAGGTAAGTTAGATAGGTAATTAATAATTACTAATTATATATTACCCACTGGGAGGTAAGTTAGATAGGTAATTAACAGTCACTAGTTCTATATCACTTACTGGGAGGTAACAGTATTATCACAAAAATACGATTTTAATTACCGAGATCTATAGCTGTGTCGTTCCAGGTATATCTTCAGTGCAAGTTTTGCTGTTTGGTACCAGTTAAAATAATGACACAGTTTTAGTTTAAAATGTGATATGATATATTTGAGACTAATTTTATTATCATATTTTTTTCAGTCAAGATGGCGACAAGTATGCCAGATGTAGATAACGCACTTCTGAAACAGACAGATGCAGTCGAACCACGGGTGGACGGTTACTCAGTTGCGGACGAAATGGAAGATGTTGCCGACGCAGAAAAGAACAGTTACAAAATTGTAGAAGAGATGGCAGATGTTGCTAACGTCTTTGCTGAAATAAAGAAACACAATTTACTGGCAGTAGACTGTGAAGGAATCGACTTAGGAAGAGCTGGTGAGCTGAAAGTTTTCACAATATCTACCCCAGTCAACACATTCATCTTTGACATCCTGAAACTTGGTAAACAAGTATTTGATGACGGCCTTCGTGATATCCTTGAAGATAAAACGAAGGAGAAACTCATGTTTGATTGTCGAGGTGATGCGGATATTCTCTTTCATCGGTACAAAGTGAATCTCTCTGGAGTGCTGGATCTGCAACTATTGGAAGTGATGCAACGAAATAAATCATTGTGCTCCTCGTCGTCAAGCGCATCTGGTCATCGCAGAAGCACACAAACTGATGATGTTGAAAACATCTATGGGCTTCAACGCTGTATAGAGATCTACATGGATGATAAGAAAATGGTTGGAAAGGAAAAAAGTAAAGATATATTAGCACGTGACAAAAATGTGGGGAAGAACAGACCGTTGTCAAACATCCTGAAGATGTACGGCTGTATTGACACATCCGCGTTGTTCGGTCTATATGACAAGCTCAAAGGCGATAGTGATAACTTACCGCGTCTCCGAATAGCATCAGACCGTTACGCAGATTACTTCCGGTCCATGGCTGTAAGAACGTCAGGAATGTTTGAACACCATGCTTTCCTACCATTAGACATCATTCCAGATGGGAGATCAGGAAGCTTTCCACTTGCCACGACGAAATGCGTTGGATGTCATCGACTTTTTCCAAGAGACGAGTTCAGCAAGACACAACTTCGTAATGGAAACCAGAAGTGTCGCGTTTGTAAGAAAGTGAAGCTGAATGACGACGTTCAGAAAAACAGAGAAGACAACTGGATGCGAGATGAGGAAAGGAGATCTTACTCGCCCTATTACTCGTCAGACGAAGATGTTTGGGATAGTGATTACGAATTTGACTGGATGAGACCACATCGCCTTGACTTGTATGATTATTATTATTCCAGTGATGAGGAGTGGTGGTAACGATAATCGTGTGTCATTTTTACACAAGTTGAAAGTTGAAGAAGTGATGATTTTACGTGTGTCATTTTATAAATGAAAAGGTAGGAGATGTAAAGTTTTTACGCGTGTCATTTTACACAAGTTAAAGGTAGAAAGGATGAGGGGTTTTTAAACATTTATCATTCAAAGCCTGTGCCGTATTTTGCTTTTTGCTATCACTTCACATAGAAAACAAGTCTCACAGAAAAATCAACTTTGGTACATGCAATTAACTTACTTTTGATGAACATGATTCCTTCTCTAACCAATACACCTATTGAAGTTGTTATCTTTGTGAGTGTGTGTAGGCATGATTACATATGTGTCCGTGATACATCTACTATTGTTTCCTCACAAATAGTGTAGTGCAACCTTTCATTCAGTACAGGAGTGTGAGATTTAAATACTACTGTAAGTGAACAATAATGGAGTTGGTCTAGAGACATTGTTGTAGACCAATTATCTAGGATAAAAAGATTAATGAACAAAATTCACATGTCAATTGAAAATAAATTCTCTCACACAAGAACACGATCGTTGGTTGTTATTTAATATACATATAGGTAAACTTTCCCTGCTTCTCTCTATGAAATGATTGACGTCACTGTTATCACGTAACATTTTTTTTTGTATTTTCATTAATTGTTTTTAAAATGACAGCATGTTAGAGCGGGTCTGGGCGCATTTATATAACGAAATAGTAAACACCGACATAAATAATATTTCATAATCAAAAGCATGTGTTATCTCTACAGGTGTGTGTATATATATGTCTACAGGTCCCCGTTATAACACAGTCATTAAATCTAAAATAAATATTGGAAGCACGTCACCTACCAGTAGCATGTAATAAACGGCTTGCACAATTTATTGGTAACTTCTTGTCAGCGGGCCTGATGTTTTAAGTATTGGTCAACACGCTTGTAACTTTAGAAGCTTGTATTTGTCGGCAATCTTTTAGTATTGATATTACTAATCAGACAAGAGTGTATATATACAGTTCTATTGAATTGGCAGAAAGTCGTGTCGAAGTGATCCTTGATAGAAGTACATGCACAATATACCTTTAAGTTGCAATGAAATATCTCAAATAAAATAATATTGTATTAGTACTTGTTTAATTAGAATAAAATTCTTAATACTCTCAAAATACTCCGAAAACGAAACTGAAAGTAGAATTCAGATATAAAGTGAAGGTACTAGAGATCGTATTTATAAAGTGTAAGTAAGTAATGTATACCAAGTATATAGAGCTTTAGCTGTTAGTTTCTCCTCGCATTTCGAAAGCGGAACTTGAATGGAATTCATGGAAGTGTTATGTGTACATTTTTTATAAACGGAGGTAGACAATGTGTACTAGAAATGCTATGACGCTATTTATAAACATGACCCGAGAGGGCTACACTTTCTAAAAACTTGCAATCTGAAAGCGAAACTAAAGTTGACTTCTTGGAAGTGATAAAAGTGTTTACTTTGATATATTTCAAAATGAAAGTCGTATATACTTAGGTACAAACGCAAGGTCGTCTTCGTTTAGGAAAAGATACATACACCGACACCATGATATATACTGTGTTTTAAGATGTGCTTATTCCATATGGAAAATCTTGTTTACAATTGTACAAAGTAAATTAGGATACACAAATCGCCGACAACCTATACGACGGTAGAGAAAAAAATTGTGCACTTTGTACAGAGTAGTAAACATTTCACAAAATATATTTCATGAGGATAATAAATTTCAATTGTATTTACATAACATAACATAAGTGTTTCGATAAAAACTCTTCAGATATCAATGTCTCGTTAAAAAACCCATGAATGTCAATGTCTCGTTAAAAAAAACCCATGAATGTCAGTGTCTCGTTGAAATTCCATGGATGTCAGTGTCTCGTTAGAAATTCCATGGATGTCAGTGTCTCGTTAGAAATTCCATGAATGTCAATGTCTCGTTAGAAATTCCATGAATGTCAATGTCTCGTTAAAAATTCCATGGATGTCAGTGTCTCGTTAGAAATTCCATGAATGTCAGTGTCTCGTTAAAAACACATGAATGTCAGTGTCTCGTTAGAAATTCCATGAATGTCAGTGTCTCGTTAAAAATTCCATGGATGTCAGTGTCTCGTTAAAAATTCCATGAATGTCAGTGTCTCGTTAAAAAAACCCATGAATGTCAGTGTCTCGTTAGAAATTCCATGAATGTCAGTGTCTCGTTAGAAATTCCATGAATGTCAGTTTCTCGTTAGAAATTCCATGAATGTCAGTGTCTCGTTAGAAATTCCATGAATGTCAGTGTCTCGTTAAAAAAAACCCATGAATGTCAGTGTCTCGTTAGAAATTCCATGGATGTCAGTGTCTCGTTATAAATTCCATGAATGTCAGTGTCTCGTTAGAAATTCCATGAATGTCAATGTCTCGTTAGAAATTCCATGAATGTCAGTGTCTCGTTAGAAATTCTATGGATGTCAGTGTCTCGTTAGAAATTCCATGGATGTCAGTGTCTCGTTAGAAATTCCATGGATGTCAGTGTCTCGTTAAAAAACCCATGAATGTCAGTGTCTCGTTAGAAATTCCATGGATGTCAGTGTCTCGTTAGAAATTCCATGAATGTCAATGTCTCGTTAGAAATTCCATGGATGTCAGTGTCTCGTTAGAAATTCCATGGATGTCAGTGTCTCGTTAGAAATTCCATGGATGTCAGTGTCTCGTTAGAAATTCCATGGATATCAGTGTCTCGTTAGAAATTCCATGGATGTCAGTGTCTCTTTATTACTCTGTGGTTATCAGTGTTTCGCTTTCATCTTTGTGGATATCGATGTCTCATTAAAACCCTTCATGTAGCTAGAGGGTAGGAGATTCTTGATTGTATAACCCGAGGTTATACCAAATCTCCGCCGAGAGATTTCTCTGTCCAACCCTACAGGTAGGGAATGCTACTTTTCTACCACGTTCCCCACTTAAAATAAATATGCATGTGACATTATAACCATCGGTATGTCATTTGCATTTGAGGTCTGAACGACAATTGCTAATGACGTCAGTGACCCCGACACGTCATAAAATCACGTCATTAACAATTACATGAACCCGAAATGTCACTTCCTGTGCGTACAGGCCTTGTCGAAACGACGAGACATACACTTGACGGGATCAATTTGATTCATTCATGGGTAAAATGAACTTAAATATTGTGTCAAAATACCATTTCAGTACTATCGAATCTTTCTCCAAGACGAAACAAAACAGCAATACCAATCCCAACACTCGACCTTGATTTTCGGGTAGTTCAGCCATGTATAACTTTTGTTTATTGAAAAAAAAATCCAATGAAACATAAATAATAAAACCCTAAAATAACACGTTGTGTTGTACACGTGTTCCCACGAGCTGCCAAATGGCGACCACGTGCACGAGCACGACACACCGGTGACGGGAAAAAAAGAGAGAGAGAGAGAGAGAGAGAAAAAAAAAAGGAAAAATAAAATACAACGAAGTTTCGCCAAATTCTGACACCAAATTTAAAGAATGGCGGTGTTCGCTTCACGTACTGGACACTCTAGGGTTGCTCCCAGCTCCTAACTAGTAAGTGATACAGCGATTTTGGACACAAATCCGTTTACTTTAAAAGTCAAGAGAGCGCTGTCGTGTCACGTCAGTTCAAACTAAGGGCGATAACTCCCACAGTTTTCACTACAAGCACCTTGTATGCAAACGAGTCTACCCCTGCCAGGCACCATACGACAATCAGACAATCGAAGTGGAAGATAATGCGTAACCAGTGCGCCACCAGACCAACCTTGTGATGATAATGAGGATGATGCAACGGTGTCCAAAAGGAAAAGAAGTTGATGACGTCAAACATTGCTATATGTTGATATGTCTCCGTGTGTCTTGTTAAAATCTTGCACAATTTAAGGAGGAAAAAAAGGGCAAAAACAAAAACAAAAAACAAAAGAAATATACGCTTTAGTGAATTCATCAATTCGTCGTTTAAAACGTGCATTTCTTTTATCACATTGGTCGCATTTAGGCAGTGACTATTTCATATGACCCGTACACTCATGGTTATATTTGGATATATGTTGTAGCCTCCGTAATAGTACGGTACATAACAAATCGGATAAAAACAAATTGATATTTGCCGTTGGCGTTGTCTGGGTACAATCGATCCCTTACCGTTCTTTAGGCATATCTGACGATCACGAGGATACACTTGATGACCACGAGGACACACCTGATGACCATGAGTGATGACAACGTGTATCTGTCTCTCAGAATTCGGTTAATTGATTAACTAAATCTTACTGCAGTTCAGACATAATAAACTACATGGTAGATGCTGTTTTGCCATTATCTGATGACGGTTGGCTAAAAAGCACAGAAGTATGACAATTGCCTATAGGTTTCTAGGATGAAGTCTGATAAGTTTGCAAAAAAGAAACGACCTTGACCTATATTCAAGATCACTGGGGTCAAATTGTCAAAATATTTAAAAGACTTCTTGTAAACCAAAAGTTTGAGAGCAGGATATTCGACAAATTTCGAGAAAAAAGGAAATGACATTTACCTGTAATCCAGGCCATAACTTTCATTGTTTAGAGTTAAGTGTTACAAGCTTTATTTGGGTTATAATTTATTGAATGTGCCCACTTTAAATGTGTGATAAACACTTATTTTATTTTTGATAAACATTGAATACCAGGTGAGCAGGTCCACTGGGCCTCTTGTTCTTCCTCAGACCTCTAAATAAAAAACTTTCATCGATTTACAATGATGATGAAACTTCTAAGAGGTATTATTATTAAAGGTTTTTGGATTTAGTCGTTTAGATTATCTGTATAAAGAAGAGGAAACATAGTTAAATGTACAATGAATAAATCATAAATCTCAATTATGATAAAATGAGTATAATATGTACATCAAATTCAATTAAAATACTTAAAGTGTCACACGTATATCTTGTGCCTGTAGTAAAATTTCCACACGTATCCTTACATCCTTCAGATGTTCACTCATTAACAATACACAATAAAATGATCATAATTACACAACTAATCTATATTGATGAATTACATTTAGATAATGAAATATTAATAATAGGAATGATAATTTAAATATCAAATCCCCCTCTTTATATAATTTAAACTGTAATTTGCCTTATACAATGATATCTATTACTTTAACCATAACGACAACTACTTTGGATGTCGCACGACCGAGATCAACTAAAGTTAGCCCAATGTATTCTAAAGTTTCATAGATATTTGTCCATACTTCTTCGGTCATCCTTTCTCCTTATTGTAGTGATATCATCCATAAAAGCAGGCAGATGTTCTAAACTTTAGTCACATTGCTTGGAGTTCTCATGAAAGCAGGTTTGTTCCGGGCAAGGGTAGATGAGCATTTTGTCAGGCATGCATCGTACAAACTTAGTGCACGTGTACGGATGAGCTATTCTGGTGTCGTTGGTGAAGCCATCACAGTGATTTTCTGTAAGAGAAAAAACACAACTTGAAACACACACACACAAACCGCTACAACTGAGGACTCAGATTTACAAAATAAAATGCCAGGACTAGCTTTCAAAATATCTTTTTACAACGGATGTCAAGGTAAGGGCATTAGACTTCGGACACGTTACCGGCTGTTGTCCGCGACAAAATGTCACCATGGGTTGTTATTTCTTAAGAGGTAAGCTTGCGGGAACTTGTTTATTACTGTATACAAAGCGATCAAAATATACATCAATGATATACGGGGGAATGGTATTCAGACAATAACTTAATCAACTTCCAAAACATATTGACATACTGTACATCTTACATCGCGTTATGTGTTGTCTTTGTGTAATAGTTTGGCTCTTAAACTTTTAAACTCGGCAAGTCTTACCAGCCAAACTCTCAGGCTCGGCAAGCATCGTATTAACTAGCCAAGCTCTGAAGCTTGGCAAGCCTCATACTAACCAGCCAAACTCTCAGGCTCGGCAAACATCACAGCAACCAGCCAAGCTCTTAAGCTTGGCAAGCCTCATACTAACCAGCCAAGCTCTTAAGCTCGGCAAGCCTCATACTAACCAGCCAAACTCTTAAGCTTGGCAAACATCACAGCAACCAGTCAAGCTCTTAAGCTCGGCAAGTCTCATACTAATCAGCCAAGCTCTCAGGCTCGGCAAACCTCGTACAAACCACCCAAACTCTTATGCTCGGCAAACATCATAGTAACCAGCCAAGCTCTTAAGCTCGGCAAACATCATACTAACAAGCCAAGCTCTTAAACTCGGCAAACATCATACTAACCAGCCAAGCTCTTGAGTTGGCAAGTCTCATACTAACAAACCAAGCTCTTAAATTCGGCAAACATCATACTAACAAGCCAAGCTCTTAAGCTTGGCAAACGTCATACTAACCAGCCAAGCTCTTGAGTTGGCAAGTCTCATACTAACCAGCCAAGCTCTTAGTTGGCAAGTCTCATACTAACCAGCCAAGCTCTTGAGTTGGCAAGTCTCATACTAACAAGCCAAGCTCTTAAGCTTGGCAAGCCTCATACTAACCAGCCAATCTCTTCAATTGGCAAGCCTCATACTAACCAGCCAATCTCTTCAGTTGGCAAGCCTCATACTAACCAGCCAATCTCTTCAGCCTGGCAAGCCTCATACTAACAAGCCAAGCTCTTAAACTCGGCAAACATCATACTAACCAGCCAAGTTCTTGAGTTGGCAAGTCTCATACTAACCAGCCAAGCTCTTAAGTTGGCAAGTCTCATACTAACCAGCCAAGCTCTTGAGTTGGCAAGTCTCATACTAACAAGCCAAGCTCTTAAGCTTGGCAAGCCTCATACTAACCAGCCAACCTCTTCAGTTGGCAAGCCTCATACTAACCAGCCAATCTCTTCAGTTGGCAAGCCTCATACTAACCAGCCAATCTCTTCAGCCTGGCAAGCCTCATACTAACAAGCCAAGCTCTTAAACTCGGCAAACATCATACTAACCAGCCAAGCTCTTGAGTTGGCAAGTCTCATACTAACAAACCAAGCTCTTAAACTCGGCAAACATCATACTAACAAGCCAAGCTCTTAAACTCGGCAAACATCATACTAACCAGCCAAGCTCCTGAGTTGGCAAGTCTCATACTAACCAGCCAAGCTCTTGAGTTGGCAAGCCTCATACTAACCAGCCAAGCTCTTAAGTTGGCAAGCCTCATACTAACCAGCCAATCTCTTAAGCTTGGCAAGCCTCATACTAACAAGCCAAGCTATTAAATTCGGCAAACATCATACTAACAAGCCAAGCTCTTAAACTCGGAAAACATCTTACTAACCAGCCAAGCTCTTGAGTTGGCAAGTCTCATACTAACCAGCCAAGCTCTTGAGTTGGCAAGCCTCATACTGAACAATCACTCTTCTAAACTCGGCAAGCCTCATACTGAACAATCACACTTCTAAACTTGGCAAGCCTCATACTAACCAGCCAAGCTCCTGAGTTGGCAAGCCTCATACTGACCAGTCAAACTCTTAAGTTCAGGTTTACATATTCCTGTTCATTGAATGTAAGATTCTATTACTCTTTAAATAACCAATAGCCTTATATTGATAATACTTAAACAACTGCTGGATAAAATGATCTAATTCCCTGAGAGAAAATTATATTACAACATAATACAGAGTACCTGAAAACAAAGAAAATCTCAAAGCATCGCGTCAAATCATAGAACGGGTGATATTTATACCGAATGACATATCAAATTATAGATCGCCGGAACATTACTACAGGACGTCGTATTAAACTATTACATTACTACATCATCATTTATATATAACATCATGTCAAACCATAGACCTCCATCACAAAAAAACATTATGTCTGACCATATAACGCCGTGACATATACACAGAACATCATATCAAACCATAGAACACCATGACGCAAAAACAAGAAAATAACGCCGACAGACAGACAGACAGACAAACGGACGGACAGAGAGACGGATACAAACACTAGAGTCTCCTCCGGTTTTACCGGCAGGGGACTAATAACAGAATACAGATACTAGATGGCATAGCTATCAACATCAAAGCGAGGCGTGAGGACATACTATACATCATTACGATATATGATAGAATAATCTACGTCACTGCGAGGCATGGGGGCATCCACTATATCACTGTGAGGCGGGAGTGCACATTCTTTATCACTACGAAGCGTGAAGGCATTCTCTACATCACGCCGAGGCATGAACGCATTCTCTACATCACTACGAGGCATGAACGCATTCTCTACATCACTACGAGGCGTGAAGGCATTCTCTACATCACGTCGAGGCGTGATGGCATACCCCTTATCACTGTGAGGCATGAGTGCACACTCTATATCACTACGAGGCATGAAGGCATTCTCTACATTACGTCGAGGCGTGATGGCATACCCCTTATTACTGTGAGGCATGAGTGCACACTCTATATCACTACGAGGCATGAAGGCATTCTCTACATCACGCCGAGGCGTGAAGGCATACCCCTTGTTACTGTGAGGCGGGAGGGCACACTCTACATCACTACGAGGCATGAAGGCATTCTCTACATCACGCCGAGGCGTGAAGGCATACCCCTTATTACTGTCAGGCATGAGTGCACACTCTAAATCACTACGAGGCATGAACGCATTCTCTACATCACTACGAGGCGTGAAGGCATTCTCTACATCACGTCGAGGCGTGATGGCATACCCCTTATTACTGTGAGGCATGAGTGCACACTCTATATCACTACGAGGCATGAAGGCATTCTCTACATCACGCCGAGGCGTGAAGGCATACCCCTTGTTACTGTGAGGCGGGAGGGCACACTCTACATCACTACGAGGCATGAAGGCCTGAAGGCATTCTCAACATCCCGTCGAGGCGTACACGCTTTAACAGTAGTAATGTCATGCGTGAGTGCACACTCTATATCACTACGAGGCATCGAGGCGTGAAGGCATACCCCTTATTACTGTGAGGCGGGAGTGCACACTCTATATCACTACGAGGCATGAAGGCATTCTCTACATCACGCCGAGGCGTGATGGCATACCCCTTATCACTGTGAGGCATGAGTGCACACTCTATATCACTACGAGGCATGAACGCATTCTCTACATCACTACGAGGCGTGAAGGGCGTGATACCCCTTATTACTGTCAGGCATGAGTGCACACTCTACACCACTACGAGGCATGAACGCATTCTCTACATCACTACGAGGCGTGAAGGCATTCTCTACATCACGTCGAGGCGTAAAGGCATACCCCTTATTACTGTGAGGCGGGAGTGCACACTCTATATCACTACGAGGCATGAAGGCATTCTCTACATCACGTCGAGGCGTGAAGGCATACCCCTTATTACTGTGAGGCGGGAGTGCACACTCTATATCACTACGAGGCATGAAGGCATTCTCTACATCACGCCGAGGCGTGAAGGCAAACCCCTTGTTACTGTGAGGCGTGAGAAATTGAAAGTCATCAGTATAAATGCATGGTGTACAGGGCATAACACACTTGTCAACCTTACTACGAATAGTGGTGAGTTTATATAAGGTGTCATCATTCAATTTAGACACAATCGCTGTATTTTCATTTCCCTATCTAAAAAGCTGGTTTGTAATAAAAGACTTAAAACATGTGTATTTATTCTTTGCATTATTAGTACAATATCTTACAGATATCGATTAATTAGCAATATCTGCATTAATTCAGTGATATCCATCAACAATTTCTTCCCCGGTAAATAAGACTCAAACGGCATCTACCGGGGTAAATAAGCCTCGAACGACATCTAACCGGGCAAATAAGACTTAAACAACATCTAACCAGGTAAATAAGACTCATACGACATCTAACCGGGAAAATGAGACTCAAACGGCGTTTACCGGGGTAAATGAGACTCAAACAACATCTAACCGGGGTAAATGAGACTCAAACAACATCTAACCGGGTAAATAAGACTCGAACGACATCTAACTGGGTAAATAAGACTCAAACGGCATCTACCGGGGTAAATAAGACTCAAACGACATCTAACCGGGTAAATAAGACTCGAACGACATCTAACTGGGTAAATAAGACTCAAACGGCATCTACCGGGGTAAATAAGACTCAAACGGCATCTAACTGGGTAAATAAGACTCAAACGGCATCTAACTGGGTAAATAAGACTCAAACGACATCTAACTGGGTAAATAAGACTCAAACGACATCTAACTGGGTAAATAAGACTCAAACGACATCTAACTGGGTAAATGAGACTCAAACAACATCTATCCGGGTAAATAAGACTCAAACGACATCTAACCGGGAAAATGAGACTCAAACGGCATTTACCGGGGTAAATAAGACTCTAACGACATCTAACTGGGTAAATAAGACTCAAACAACATCTAACCGGGTAAATAAGACTCGAACGACATTTACCGGGGTAAATAAGACTCTAACGACATCTAACCGGGTAGATGAGGCTCAAACGACACCTAACCGGTAAATAAGACTCAAACTGCAAACGCCCAGTATATGAGGGTCAAACGATACCAAACCGGGTAAATGATACACAAATGTCATCTAGCCGGACAAGATGAGTCTACCGAAGTAAATGAGTTTAAAATAACATCTGTTTAAGCAAATGAGTCTTAGGTAACATCTACCCAATTAAATGAATCTAAGATAACATTTACCCAAGTAAATGAGACTTAAATGTAATCTACAAATGTAAGCCGTATCTTATTAGAAATATCCGTTCCCATTGAACTAAAGTTCGAAAGCCTACAAAATCTATCAAGTTTATGTCAGATATCAATGTTCACTTTGAAATTGAATGTTCCCGTCTGGCCAGCGACTTACCACTCGACCAGTCTGAGGCCCATTGCACTAGTTCTTGTTCCAACGTCGACGAGAACTCCTCCGCCGGCGCCCTCGTCTCCCACTGGTTTTCTTTTTGCCTATGAAGTCCAGGAAACAGGTACATTCTACTTGTCATATAATGACCCTTTATTATAATATTGTCTGTATCTTTCATATTACTTGAGCAAGTCCATAGTCCAATCATACCATGCAATATGTTTCATGTAGTCATCGTGAAACGTTTTTGAAAAGGACACATATACATGCAGAACACATGACGGTTATGTTTTTAAAGTGCTTACAGACAGATATTGTAATCGCATTGCACATTGACAAGGAAATAAAAACATGTAACACATGTTTCCCCTGTGATGTCAGTAAAACAATAATTCTTTTTAATATAATTAAATCATTCCTTTACCGCCAGTTAAAGTAAACAGCTATTACTGCGTCACTCATACACACAAGTTTATAAATGTGTGATTTAAAATCTAAATCCATGATGCCAGGGCAGAGTATGACCAATCGAGGACAGTTCCACATCGAGACAGTTGCCATGATATTAGGAGAAAATCGGGACCAGATGTTCCGGAATAGAAAGTACAACTGTATCGTTAAGATAGATCAATCTAGATGTGAATATTTACTCTTGCACCTTCACTACACTATAAAGGTGCACTTTATATTCAGACGTGGATGATGTTCATTTGGCATACATTTCAATTAGACTATACAATGACATAGTAGGTAAGTTCTGTACATGGAGTAGACAATGGCATTGGGTAAAAAATTTAATGTAATTGAAGAGAATACTATCTTCTGTGATTGAAGAGAATATCATCTTCTGTGTTTGAAGTGATTACCATCTTCTGTGTTTGAAAAGAATACCATCTTCTGTGTTTGAAAAGAATACTATCTTCTGTGTTTGAAGAGAATACCATCTTCTGTGTTTGAAAAGAATACTTTCTTCTGTGTTTGAAGTGATTACCATCTTCTGTGTTTGAAGTGATTACCATCTTCTGTGTTTGAAAAGAATACTTTCTTCTGTGTTTGAAAAGAATACTTTCTTCTGTGTTTGAAGTGATTACCATCTTCTGTGTTTGAAAAGAATACTTTCTTCTGTGTTTGAAGAGAATACCATCTTCTGTGTTTGAAAAGAATACTTTCTTCTGTGTTTGAAGTGATTACCATCTTCTGTGTTTGAAGTGATTACCATTTTCTGTGTTTGAAGAGAATACCATCTTCTGTGTTTGAAGAGAATACTTTCTTCTGTGTTTGAAGTGATTACCATCTTCTGTGTTTGAAAAGAATACCATCTTTTGTGATTGAAAAATATCATCTTCTGTGATTGAAGAGAAAATTGTCTTCTTTGATTGAAGACAATACCATCTTCTGTGATTAAAGAGAAAACCATTTTCTGTAATTGAAGAGAATACTATCTTCTTTGAATGAAGAAAATACCATTTTCTGTGTTTGAAAAGAATGCATTCTTGTGTGACTGAAGAGAATACCATCATCTGTGTTTGAAAAGAATACCATCTTGTGTGTTTGAAGAGAAAACCATCTTCTGTGATTGAATAGAATACTATCTTCTGTGATCGAAGAAAATACCTTTTTCTGTGTTTGAAGAGAATACCATCTCCTGTGACCGTTCGCATGAAAGTGTTTGTCCTGCATTTCCCTCTATCAGAAATGTTTATCAATATGATAAATCAATTTTCGCTTATTGCCATATTTAATGATTTTATTGTCTATATTGTCGCATAAGCCATCACACAAAAATTTTACTTGTTTATATCCTAAAACCATGCCCTAAAAACAAGTGGAGGGTTAGGGTGCAAGGACGAAAAGGATCATATATACCAGCCAGTGTTATTTAAAGTGTTTATCTAGATATATATAGCCATGACCCTGTCCTTGACCTCACAACTCTGAAACAGGACAATGTCAGAGGTACATTTTATACCCGTGCTTGACCTTTGAATACAGTTTGACCAAAATCCAAGAAAGACTGAAGTCGCTAAGTTTTTAAATGAATTGGACAATACGTTCTATATATAGTCAGGGTGACCTTGACATTAGCCTTGGGTCCATGAAACATCACAATGTCCAAAGTACACTCATACTTGACCGTTGTGTAAAGTCTGACCAAATTCCAGGAGAGAATGAAGTTAGTTAGTTTAAATTTTCTATAAATAGCAAGGGCGACCTTGGCCTTGACTTTGACATTCCAAAACACTACGATGTCCAAAGAATACTCATCACTGACCTTTATATAATATATATCTGTCAAAGAATGAATTTGCTACCTGCTTAAATTGAATCGGGATGGGACGGACACGGACAAAGCAATATGCCCCCCTCCGCAGTCCCGGACAAGTTCAGTCATGATTTCACCCCCAATTAAACATTTCGCGGAGTTGTTTAAAAAGCAATGCTTGTGCTTGCGGGCGTTCCGGTGTGTCTGTTACCTACTTTCAAGCCTTCAAAGTAGCCGTTTTCACTCAGTCAAAATTCTAAAGAGCTGCGAGGACACGTGACACTGTGACGTCACTGGTACCCTGGCCACGAATATTCCCTTGTAAGCAATACAATGTTAGTCTTACTCTAACATTTTAAATGTTTTCCAATACATCTGCGTTGGAAAGGTGGAAAGGGCAACAACGTGATGATAAGGCAATACAGATACAGTAGTGCGGTGAGGGAAGCTGACAACAGTGCAACAACACAACGGATGCAGGGAATCACATTCAAAGTAAACCTACTCGGATAATTTGATCTCATTCGCGGCCCTTCTAAAGCATTTGTTCAACAGTTCACATTATCATTGGTGTATATTGAAAATGTAATTAAAAGAGAAGTACATCCCAAACGCCATTAGAATACATGCAAGTTCGCTGTCATTGCCGTATCTATAACTTGATTGTTTAAATATTACAGCTGAGCAAAATAAAATTAAAAACTTACGCTGTTACTGTCTCATTTAAATGATCGTATCTATAACTTGATGGTTTAAATATTACAGCTGAGCAAAATAAAATAAAAAACTTACGCTGTTACTGTCTCATTTAAATGATGGTATCTATAACTTGATGGTTTAAATATTACAGCTGAGCAAAATAAAATTAAAAACTTACGCTGTTACTGTCTCATTTAAATGATCGTATCTATAACTTGATGGTTTAAATATTACAGCTGAGCAAAATAAAATAAAAAACTTACGCTGTTACTGTCTCATTTAAATGATCGTATCTATAACTTGATGGTTTAAATATTACAGCTGAGCAAAATAAAATAAAAAACTTACGCTGTTACTGTCTCATTTAAATGATCGTTATAACTTGATGGTTTAAATATTACAGCTGAGCAAAATAAAATAAAAAACTTACGCTGTTACTGTCTCATTTAAATGATCGTATCTATAACTTGATGGTTTAAATATTACAGCTGAGCAAAATAAAATAAAAAACTTACGCTGTTACTGTCTCATTTAAATGATCGTATCTATAACTTGATGGTTTAAATATTACAGCTGAGCAAAATAAAATAAAAAACTTACGCTGTTACTGTCTCATTTAAATGATCGTATCTATAACTTGATGGTTTAAATATTACAGCTGAGCAAAATAAAATAAAAAACTTACGCTGTTACTGTCTCATTTAAATGATCGTATCTATAACTTGATGGTTTAAATATTACAGCTGAGCAAAATAAAATAAAAAACTTACGCTGTTACTGTCTCATTTAAATGATCGTATCTATAACTTGATGGTTTAAATATTACAGCTGAGCAAAATAAAATAAAAAACTTACGCTGTTACTGTCTCATTTAAATGATCGTATCTATAACTTGATGGTTTAAATATTACAGCTGAGCAAAATAAAATAAAAAACTTACGCTGTTACTGTCTCATTTAAATGATCGTATCTATAACTTGATGGTTTAAATATTACAGCTGAGCAAAATAAAATAAAAAACTTACGCTGTTACTGTCTCATTTAAATGATCGTATCTATAACTTGATGGTTTAAATATTACAGCTGAGCAAAGTTAACCAAGAAACTTACCTGGAACAATATAAAGAAGTTCCTTCGCTGACTTGATATTCAGATCTGGGATTTCTCCTCCTGCCACTGGTGTGATATCGGGCTTTACTGTGATCTCTGTTCCGTTCCATTTTAACTTTGGCTTGAACGTGGTGTATGAATCGACAACCGTCTCGCATTTTCTCTCGTACCGTTTTAAAGTCCATGTCGTGTCAGAACCAGAGAAAAAATCGGTAGGAGTGTTTTTCCCTGGTCCAGATGTGGACCAACTTAGATTACCGTGAGGGTCAGGATATCCTGCCATCCATGAGGCCGAAATCACGAGTTTTTCTCCCTCAATCACCTGAACTGGAATCTTCATCGTCACCTCCGGTGCCGGATCCACTAGACAAATTGTAATTCATTTTTGTAAGCGTCAGACTTTGACTTTCCTTCAAACTCAGATCTACCACCACATTGCGTATTGCGGTAAGTTTACGTTCTTATAGAATTCATTAGCATATATCTGTCCCATGGTTAACGTAAAGGAGTTTTTTGTATTAAAATAGTAAATACACACGTATATACACAATGTACCGAAAATCGTTCCCTAGCCCACAGGTTTGTTTTCGCATAACTCATATAAAATGTTGCACTTCGCCCGCTCATACGTCACAGGATCCCAATATTGGGACTTTTAAAAGAAAATTGTTATCATTTTGTAGGCACTGACATTTTACATGAAGTCATATATAGATACTTGTTTCAGGTTATGTCAGTGTGAAAATAACTAATTTTTAAAATAAACCTTTTTATGTAAATTGACGCAGCCACTATTTAAGAACTGATCTGAGACATCTTGACTAAATTAGATGACCTGACCACACGGGAACATGTTTACAACGTTTACTTCCCGAAATAAACACTATTTAAATTTCAATCAAAGCTGTCTGGAGTTATCTCCCTTTAACAAACGTTAAGTAAACATTTATTTCATATTTGTATACTGTTAAATTACCTATGATGAGCTGACTTTGATCAAAATCGATATTTCCAGAATATACCATAAATGACTGAAAATGGATATTGACATCATATATATATGTTACAACATACTTCTTGGCAATTGAATAAATGATGTATGTATTCAGAAACAGTCTTTGAGACAAATTTACAAGTCATAGGGTGAAATAATACAGGTATCAGGTAATACGTACTTCATTTTCTAAATTTGGGGCAGACACGATTCGTTTTGGGGACTTACTACAACGTAGGGCATCATTATTACCTGTGATGACCACTTTTGCTGTCCGGCTGTCCGTCTCGCCGCCCGCCTGTACCCCACATGTCAACGTATCCTGATTGTCACACGTGATTTCTGTGTAGGCGATATACACTAATACATTATCAAGGCTTAAATCTTCAAGATTTTTCTGCTTATTGTGTCGCACGACCATATCAGAGTTATTTCCCTTTAATGAAAATTCTCCCGAAGATGTTAAAACAAATTCAAATATACCAGGGGAATGAGATTTACGTTTTCCGCGTACAAATACAGACGACCAGTTAGAGATGCCATTTACACTACAGGAAAATATTCCACTAGATCCAATCGTTTGGTACATGTCCTTCATTTTAATGGACTCTGAAAAAAAAAACGTTTTTAGTCAAATTATCCGTGACATATTATTCACTTATAACCAATTACTAAAACATGATGCCAGTGTAGAACAGGATCTGGCAGAACTAATTTGTCGAGAGTGAGTTTCGGGAGGAAAAGTGACCAATCAGTCTAAGAGGCTCCTTTACAGAATACAAAGAAGCGACACCCAACTTCAAAGCCAACACAACATACCGTTATGCGACCTCGAGATTCCTTTGACGTACATAATTTTTTATCTATTGTTATTTTTCGCCTTAAAATCACTTTCTATTGGCCAGTCTATCAAAAATCTCATCACTAGAACGAAAACTAAATTTCAGAAATATAGGGCGTCTGACATTCATACATCATTAAAGAAAAAATCAATTATATTTCAAACAATGACAAATTGATTTTTTAAACAAAAGGAGATATTTCAAAGCTCTCGATGTCAATGTGGAAACTGATGTTCTGCGCTGTTATATTACATTGTAGTACGATGTAATTATAATATCACTTAACTGTTTCATTACGGTCATTTAAACTGAAGTTTTATTGTTAGTTTAAACAAAAAAAATTGTTGTAAGTTTAAACAAAATTTTTATTTGATATTCAACAATTAAACACATACATATGTGTTCTAATAAGAACACTCTCAGCTGATGGCACGTGCATATTCACGTGTAACAATACATACGATGTGATTTGCCGATTGTTCACTACTTCCGTCATTCCACGTACATATTTACTTACGTGCCAGTTTGGGATTATTAGTGGCTGACTCCATCGGTTTGAGAGGTATAAACTGTGGTTTGCCATCGCCCTCTTTGACGGTAGGAATATTTTCTAACTTAGGTATATTTAGATTGGACAATGGGGCAATGCCAAGCCGTCGGGAATCGTTAACTGTTTAAAAAACCAAGATAAAAACAATTTATACTACAAAGTGTATAGACAAATACCTATTAAAACGGGAATGTGGTATAAACCAAAGATAGCAAACACATATACACCCCAATTTACAGAAATATTTCGTTAATGCTGTAACTAAGAAACGTTTTACGTCTATTGAAAATGAAATCAAGATTTGACAGACTGTAAAGGTCTTAACATGTGTTGTAATGAATTTGTTTTAAAATTGAATTTCCGTTTGAATATTGAATATTTCATTGAGGAAATGAAAATTATATTCACACGGAACAGTGATGCCGCGATGTTATTAAGAAATGTATAGGTAATTAAGAGATGAAATAGATGAAATTTCAAGTTACAATACTGCTCAGGGCACCATATTTGTACCTGGAAAAAATAGTAAAATCCCGCGGTCTATGCGAACGACCTGATATCAGGCCGAAAGGAAATTCGCAACATCTGCATATTGTAACAAGAGGTTTACATGTATTTAGGAAAAAATAAAAATAAAAAGAAGAACAGCTGGCAAAATTTGTACTGACCTATGAAAGCAGGTGTTCTGGGGAACCAGCATGAAGATGTATTTCAATAAAAAAATTTGCTGTTGAGAAGTTTGCGCGTTATTTTAATTCGTTGACAATAATTCGCAAAACTTTGATAAGCTTTTCAAATATCAATTCGGAATCGTGTTGAGAACGTCCTTTATGATTTGAATATGATGTCAGATAAAAGTTCAATTAAGTCAGTATTATGACGAGAACAACTGCTGTTTCGTTATAACAAAGTGTTTGTTCAGTAACAAGAAACTACATTTCTGTAACACAAACCGAAGGCGTTGTTTGTGATACCAGGTCTTATGTTACGTACCTAAAGCACTAAGATTTTTGTGATGAGTGTCACTTCCGGGGATGTGGATAGGGGCACTGTTCGACACGTGGTCTTTACCTGTAAAATGTGAAAAGAATATCTATTTAATATTTACGGTTCTCCGAAAGTGTCACGTGGCATTTTAAAGCTTCTGTAAGACTAACAAATCAGGTTTTCTCTGACTTTCCACTTTGGAAGGTTGAACATGGATATTGTCACATGTTTGTATGAAGGTCGCAAAAGTCGAGGAGCGAAGATTTCTGCCAACATCCGTCCTTATTCTATTTTTCAAAAGATTGTGTATGTCAAAATTCAACGATACGTATAATTCATCACATTAAGTCAATCCGACACGTACTTTTCACAAAGACAAAGTGAATGATGAGGGCCACCGCTGCCGCTATAGCTCCCAAGGACAGTATTCCAAGAACCACACACCCCGTTGTACGTCTGTTCCGCCGCTTCTTCTCAACTGCTGTCAGAAAATTCTCAGAATTGGTTGATGTCATACGAGATATCGGTGTAGCCCCATTGGTTTCCGTAGATTTATTCCCGAGGGGAGGTAACCAGTTTGTGTCATCATTTAACACAGGTGGCTCTGACGAAAGGGAGTTACTTCTCACAGCACTGGCTCTATTGTCCAGAATCTGAGGGACAAATTTCGAAAAGACTTAGAGATACATACTTTAATTGTTTGCATTAATCATGAACGAAGCTAATGACGACGCATTATAGGTCATTCTGTCGATGCGTTTATTAATCACATAAAAACAAGATGTAGTGTATTAGCACGTAAGCTGGAACCATCTTAGTGCATTCAAAATACAATATGTAAATATTATATGGCTGTATCACTGCTTAGTGTGAATTGTACGAGTAGATCTCCCTGTCTGTCTATATTTAACCTTGTCAGATGAATCTTGTCACAGTTAATTATAAAGCGACGATCTCTTATCACTAAGGTCGTTGGCTACAATATCTGTCGGCCATTACCAGGGAGTGGCGAAGGATGGTGACAGTTTTATGTGTATATTGTTTACGACTGCCGTAGATCGAACACATTGCAAACACTAGAGTGTGTTTCTACCTACCTGGGATAAGGAACAGCAACGTGACCTCTCGTCAATAATTGTCATTTGTAAACAAAACAAAAAAAAACCCCGATAAGTGACGATAACCCCTGGAAAATATTCATCTTTATAGCGACTAAGTGTCGGTATGACCATATATCTAAAGGACCAATCTGGAAACATTATCACCGTTAGATATCGATAACGGTTCTCTCACTACTGGCCACATCTCTATAAAGCCAATCTGATGATAATGACCATCTCTTTACGTGGTCAAGGTGGCGAAAATGACCATCTCTGTACGTGATAGAGATATCGATAACGACCATCTCTGTACGTGGTAGAGATATCGGCAATGACCATCCCGGTACGTGGTAGAGATATCGGGAACGACCATCCCTGAACGTGGTAGAGATATCGATAATGACCATATATGTACGTGGTAGAGTTATATACAATGACCATCTCTGTACGTGGTAGAGATATATACAATGACCATCTCTGTACGTGGTAGATATATATACAATAACCATCCCTGTACGTGGTAGAGATATATACAATGACCATCTCTGTACGTGGTAGAGATATATACAATGACCATCTCTGTACGTGGTAGAGATATATACAATGCCCATCTCTGTACGTGGTAGAGTTATATACAATGACCATCTCTGTACGTGGTAGAGATATATACAATGACCATCTCTGTACGTGGTAGATATATATACAATGGCCATCTCTGTACGTGGTAGAGATATATACAATGACCATCTCTGTACGTGGTAGAGCTATCGACAATGACCATCTCTGTACGTGGTAGAGATATATACAATGACCATCTCTGTACGTGGTAGAGATATATACAATGCCCATCTCTGTACGTGGTAGAGTTATATACAATGACCATCTCTGTACGTGGTAGAGATATATACAATGACCATCTCTGTACGTGATAGATATATATACAATGGCCATCTCTGTACGTGGTAGAGATATATACAATGGCCATCTCTGTACATGGTAGAGTTATCGTCAATGATCATCTCTGTACCATGTCAATCTGTGAATGATGACCACTCTCAAAGTCCTCTCTTATAAAGTTAACATGTGACAGAAGGGATGTCATACAGGACAGGTTGTATTGTAGTGACAAAAGGGATGTCATACAGGACAGGTTGTATTGTAGTGACAGAAGTCATGTCATACAGGGCAGGTTGTATTGTAGTGATAGAAAGGATGTCATACAGGACAGGTTGTATTGTAGTGACAGAAGGCATGTCATACAGGACAGGTTGTATTGTAGTGACAGAAGACATGTCATACAGGACAGGTTGTATTGTAGTGATAGAAGGGATGTCATACAGGACAGGTTGTATTGTAGTGATAGAAGGGATGTCATACAGGACAGGTTGTATTGTAGTGACAGAAGGGATGTCATACAGGACAGGTTGTATTGTAGTGACAGAAGGCATGTCATACAGGACAGGTTGTATTGTAGTGACAGAAGGGATGTCTTACAGGACAGGTTGTATTGTAGTGAGAGAAGGCATGTCATACAGGACAGGTTGTATTGTAGTGACAGAAGGGATGTCATGCAGGACAGGTTGTATTGTAGTGACAGAAGGGATGTCATGCAGGACAGGTTGTATTGTAGTGACAGAAGGGTTGTCTTACAGGACAGGTTGTATTGTAGTGACAGAAGGGTTGTCTTACAGGACAGGTTGTATTGTAGTGACAGAAGGGATGTCTTACAGGACAGGTTATATTGTAGTGACAGAAGGGATGTCATACAGGACAGGTTGTATTGTAGTGACAGAAGACATGTCATACAGGACAGGTTGTATTGTAGTGATAGAAGGGATGTCATACAGGACAGGTTGTATTGTAGTGATAGAAGGGATGTCATACAGGACAGGTTGTATTGTAGTGACAGAAGGGATGTCATACAGGACAGGTTGTATTGTAGTGACAGACGGCATGTCATACAGGACAGGTTGTATTGTAGTGACAGAAGGGATGTCTTACAGGACAGGTTGTATTGTAGTGAGAGAAGGCATGTCATACAGGACAGGTTGTATTGTAGTGACAGAAGGGATGTCATGCAGGACAGGTTGTATTGTAGTGACAGAAGGGATGTCATGCAGGACAGGTTGTATTGTAGTGACAGAAGGGTTGTCTTACAGGACAGGTTGTATTGTAGTGACAGAAGGGTTGTCTTACAGGACAGGTTGTATTGTAGTGACAGAAGGGATGTCTTACAGGACAGGTTATATTGTAGTGACAGAAGGGATGTCATACAGGACAGGTTGTATTGTAGTGACAGAAGGCATGTCATACAGGACAGGTTGTATTGTAGTGATAGAAGGGATGTCATACAGGACAAGTTGTATTGTAGTGACAGAAGGGTTGTCTTACAGGACAGGTTGTATTGTAGTGACAGAAGGTATGTCATACAGGACAGGTTGTATTGTAGTTACAGAAGGCATGTCATACAGGACAGGTTGTATTGTAGTGACAGAAGGCATGTCATATTGGACAGGTTGTATTGTAGTGACAGAAGGCATGTCATATTGGACAGGTTGTATTGTGTATTGTAGTGACAGAAGGGTTGTCTTACAGGACAGGTTGTATTGTAGTGACAGAAGGCATGTCATACAGGACAGGTTGTATTGTAGTGACAGAAGGCATGTCATACAGGACAGGTTGTATTGTAGTGACAGAAGGGTTGTCTTACAAGACAGGTTGTATTGTAGTGATAGAAGGCATGTCATACAGGACAGGTTGTATTGTAGTGACAGAAGGCATGTCATACAGGACAGGTTCTACCAGAGTGATAGAAGGGACGTCATACACGACAGGTTGTATTGTAGTGACAGAAGGCATGTCATACAGGACAGGTTCTACCAGAGTGATAGAAGGGATGTCATGCAGGACAGGTTGTATTGTAGTGATAGAAGGGATGTCATACAGGACAGGTTGTATTGTAGTGACAGAAGGCATGTCATACAGGACAGGTTGTATTGTAGTGACAGAAGGTATGTCATACAGGACAGGTTGTATTGTAGTTACAGAAGGCATGTCATACAGGACAGATTGTATTGTAGTGACAGAAGGCATGTCATATTGGGCAGGTTGTATTGTAGTGACAGAAGGGTTGTCTTACAGGACAGGTTGTATTGTAGTGATAGAAGGCATGTCATACAGGACAGGTTGTATTGTAGTGATAGAAGGGATGTCATACAGGACAGGTTGTATTGTAGTGATAGAAGGCATGTCATACAGGACAGGTTGTATTGTAGTGACAGAAGGCATGTCATACAGGACAGGTTGTATTGTAGTGACAGAAGGCATGTCATACAGGACAGGTTGTATTGTAGTGACAGAAGGCATGTCATACAGGACAGGTTCTACCAGAGTGATAGAAGGGATGTCATACAGGACAGGTTGTATTGTAGTTACAGAAGGCATGTCATACAGGACAGGTTGTATTGTAGTGACAGAAGCCATGTCATATTGGACAGGTTGTATTGTAGTGACAGAAGGGTTGTCTTACAGGACAGGTTGTATTGTAGTGACAGAAGGCATGTCATACAGGACAGGTTGTATTGTAGTGACAGAAGGCATGTCATACAGGACAGGTTGTATTGTAGTGACAGAAGGCATGTCATACAGGGCAGGTTCTACCAGAGTGATAGAAGGGATGTCATACAGGACAGGTTGTATTGTAGTGACAGAAGGCATGTCATACAGGACAGGTTCTACCAGAGTGACAGAAGGGATGTCATGCAGGACAGGTTGTATTGTAGTGACAGAAGGCATGTCATGCAGGACAGGTTGTATTGTAGTGACAGAAGGCATGTCATACAGGACAGGTTGTATTGTAGTGATAGAAGGGATGTCATACAGGACAGGTTGTATTGTAGTGACAGAAGGGTTGTCTTACAGGACAGGTTGTATTGTAGTGACAGAAGGCATGTCATATTGGACAGGTTGTATTGTAGTGACAGAAGGGATATCATACAGGACAGGTTGTATTGTAGTGACAGAAGGGATGTCATACAGGACAGGTTGTATTGTAGTGACAGAAGGGATGTCATACAGGACAGGTTGTATTGTAGTGACAGAAGGGTTGTCTTACAGGACAGGTTGTATTGTAGTGACAGAAGGGATGTCATACAGGACAGGTTGTATTGTAGTGACAGAAGGGATGTCATACAGGACAGGTTGTATTGTAGTGATAGAAGGGTTGTCTTACAGGACAGGTTGTATTGTAGTGACAGAAGGGTTGTCTTACAGGACAGGTTGTATTGTAGTGATAGAAGGGATGTCATACAGGACAGATTGTATTGTAGTGACAGAAGGGATGTCATACAGGACAGGTTGTATTGTAGTTACAGAAGGCATGTCATACAGGACAGGTTGTATTGTAGTGACAGAAGGCATGTCATATTGGACAGGTTGTATTGTAGTGACAGAAGGCATGTCATACAGGACAGGTTGTATTGTAGTGACAGAAGGCATGTCATACAGGACAGGTTGTATTGTAGTGATAGAAGGGATGTCATACAGGACAGGTTCTACCAGAGTGATAGAAGGGATCATGAAACGTTAATATGTTGTTGTTGATTTTGTTGTTGCTGTTTTCTAAATAAAATATTTTTATTTGTGGGAAAGAAATGTCATACAGGACAGTATTGTATTGTCATTAAACAGAAACATACAGACCCTTTTCTTAAGACATTAACGTTACAGACAGTGTTGTATTGTAGTGACAGAAGGAACATGTCATACAGGACAGGTTTAATATATACTTATAACACTGCTAATATTAACAAACTAACGCGACATTACAATATATACAGGACAGGTTGTACAGGGCATGTATTACAGGACAGGTTGTATTGTAGTGACAGAAGGGTATGTTGTATTGTAGTGACAGTATGACAGGTTGTATTGTAGTTACAGAAGGCATGTCATACAGGACAGGTTGTATTGTAGTGACAGAAGGCATGTCATATTGGACAGGTTGTATTGTAGTGACAGAAGGCATGTCATATTGGACAGGTTGTATTGTAGTGACAGAAGGGTTGTCTTACAAGACAGGTTGTATTGTAGTGATAGAAGGCATGTCATACAGGACAGGTTGTATTGTAGTGACAGAAGGCATGTCATACAGGACAGGTTCTACCAGAGTGATAGAAGGGACGTCATACACGACAGGTTGTATTGTAGTGACAGAAGGCATGTCATACAGGACAGGTTCTACCAGAGTGATAGAAGGGATGTCATGCAGGACAGGTTGTATTGTAGTGATAGAAGGGATGTCATACAGGACAGGTTGTATTGTAGTGACAGAAGGCATGTCATACAGGACAGGTTGTATTGTAGTGACAGAAGGTATGTCATACAGGACAGGTTGTATTGTAGTGACAGAAGGCAGGTTGTATTGTAGTGACAGAAGGGTTGTCTTACAAGACAGGTTGTATTGTAGTGATAGAAGGCATGTCATACAGGACAGGTTGTATTGTAGTGACAGAAGGGTTGTCTTACAGGACAGGTTGTATTGTAGTGATAGAAGGCATGTCATACAGGACAGGTTGTATTGTAGTGACAGAAGGCATGTCATACAGGACAGGTTGTATTGTAGTGACAGAAGGCATGTCATACAGGACAGGTTGTATTGTAGTGACAGAAGGCATGTCATACAGGACAGGTTCTACCAGAGTGATAGAAGGGATGTCATACACGACAGGTTGTATTGTAGTGACAGAAGGCATGTCATACAGGACAGGTTGTATTGTAGTGACAGAAGCCATGTCATATTGGACAGGTTGTATTGTAGTGACAGAAGGGTTGTCTTACAGGACAGGTTGTATTGTAGTGACAGAAGGCATGTCATACAGGACAGGTTGTATTGTAGTGACAGAAGGCATGTCATACAGGACAGGTTGTATTGTAGTGACAGAAGGCATGTCATACAGGGCAGGTTCTACCAGAGTGATAGAAGGGATGTCATACAGGACAGGTTGTATTGTAGTGACAGAAGGCATGTCATACAGGACAGGTTCTACCAGAGTGACAGAAGGGATGTCATGCAGGACAGGTTGTATTGTAGTGACAGAAGGCATGTCATGCAGGACAGGTTGTATTGTAGTGACAGAAGGCATGTCATACAGGACAGGTTGTATTGTAGTGACAGAAGGGATGTCATACAGGACAGGTTGTATTGTAGTGACAGAAGGCATGTCATACAGGACAGGTTGTATTGTAGTGACAGAAGGCATGTCATATTGGACAGGTTGTATTGTAGTGACAGAAGGGATGTCATGCAGGACAGGTTGTATTGTAGTGACAGAAGGGATGTCATGCAGGACTATCAAGGTTGTACAGGACATTGTAGTGACAGAAGGGATGTCATACAGGACAGGTTGTATTGTAGTGACAGAAGGGATGTCATACAGGACAGGTTGTATTGTAGTGATAGAAGGGTTGTCTTACAGGACAGGTTGTATTGTAGTGACAGAAGTTGTCTTACAGGACAGGTTGTATTGTAGTGATAGAAGGGATGTACAGGACAGATTGTATTGTAGTGACAGAAGGGATACAGGACAGGTTGTATTGTAGTGACAGAAGGCATGTCATACAGGACAGGTTGTATTGTAGTGACAGAAGGCATGTCATGGACATGTAGTGACAGAAGGCATGTCATACAGGACAGGTTGTATTGTAGTGACAGAAGGCATGTCATACAGGACAGGTTTTTAGTGATAGAAAGTTACAGGACAGGTTCTACCAGAGTGATAGAAGGGATCATGAAACGTTAATATGTTGTTGTTGATTTTGTTGTTGCTGTTTTCTAAATAAAATATTTTTATTTGTGGGAAAGAAATATTCATTGACAGTATTATTATTGTCATTAAACTAAACATTAGACCCTTTTCTTAAGACATTAACGTTCAGCGTGTATAAGCTGTGTGATGAATGGAACCTTCAACATACATGTTTAATATATACTTATAACACTAGCTAATATTAACAAACTAACGCGACATTACAATATATAACATAGGATATATTACCTTGGTGAGGTCATGACTCCGTAGGTAGTCTTGGTAACGCTTGAAGAGTGTCCCGTCGAAAAACAGCGTCCACATGGGTCGCCCATCGGGTACCGGGTTGTCCATCCAGGATGGCGTAAGGTCCCGGTAAAGTCACACAGTCATCAATATATCGCCGACACGTGTGTTAAATCCTCGCTTACTTGTTAGTCCAAGATGGCAACCGGCTTATTATTGCCGGGTTGTGACGTCGTCATGCTTGTTAAGTTATGTCTTTCGTTTGTTTCAAGACCTGAATTTTTAATTAGATATATTATTTTACCTGTGTTTTACCTGAGAATGTCAAACCCCGTCATAACTCATCCTTGTCATCGTGGATCTGACAGTGTATCACGCGTCACCTCCACAACCAAGTATTGTTCACCGTGACCGTCACGTAAGACGGAGCTCATTAATTCATATAGACGTATTTCATTGTTACGTAGTCGGCGTCCGCTACATTGTAAAAAATAGACCCTATAAACTACGTTTGTGATTTAGCAGGGTTCGAGTCGTCCGCTGAAAGACCGTAATAGTTGAGGTAAACCCCGTTAGACAAACAAACAAATAAAATAGATAAAGGCAGGGTTCAATTCTCTTCAAGTTGTTGTACATTGCATACATATTAATAAAGAGCGATCTCCCATGACAAGCATGGTCACAGAAAAAATAATCTGGATTTTCTTACCAGTAAAAGCAAGTTAACAAATACTACTGTCCATCGGACCACACGGGTCGAAGTTAAAGAAAATGGAATGTATCATTTTTTCTTTTTGTTTTCAAAAGTTGACAAGACCCAACATGTTCATGCAGTAAGTGTTTCTTCTTTATAAAAGGTTAACATTTGATAAATGCATGGAAATCGAGGTATTGTTTATATAAAAGGAAACTTAATAATATCATACTTCGACTTTTGGGAGATTCTGCCTTACATGTAGGTTCCGGAAATGACGGACACTATTGGGCTGTTGGACGGTTCCGGGAATGACGGAAGTTATAGGGCTGTTTGACGGTTCCTGGAATGACGGACACTATTGGGCTGTTGGACGGTTACTGGAATGACGGAAGTTATAGGCCTGTTTGACGGTTACTGGAATGACGGAAGTTATAGGGCTGTTGGACAATTCCTGGAATGACGGAAGTTATAGGGCTGTTTGACGGTTACTGGAATGACGGAAGTTATAGGACTGTTGGATGGTTACTGGAATGACGGGAGTTATAGGGCTGTTGGACGGTTACTGGAATGACGGAAGTTATAGGGCTGTTGGACGGTTCCTGGAATGACGGAAGTTATAGGGCTGTTGGACGGTTACTGGAATGACGGAAGTTATAGGGCTGTTGGACGGTTACTGGAATGACGGAAGTTATAGGGCTGTTGGACGGTTACTGGAATGACGGAAGTTAAAGGGCTGTTGGACGGTTACTGGAATGACGGAAGTTATAGGGCTGTTGGACGGTTACTGGAATGACGGAAGTTAAAGGGCTGTTGGACGGTTACTGGAATGACGGAAGTTATAGGGCTGTTGGACGGTTACTGGAATGACGGAAGTTAAAGGGCTGTTTGACGGTTACTGGAATGACGGAAGTTATAAGGCTATTGGACGGTTACTGGAATGACGGAAGTTATAAGGCTGTTGGACGGTTACTGGAATGACGGAAGTTATAGGAATGTTGGGAGGTTACTGGAACGACGGAAACTATAGGGCTGTTGGACGGTTACTGGAATGACGGAAGTTATAGGGCTGTTGGACGGTTACTGGAATGACGGAAGTTAAAGGGCTGTTGGACGGTTACTGGAATGACGGAAGTTATAAGGCTATTGGACGGTTACTGGAATGACGGAAGTTATAAGGCTGTTGGACGGTTACTGGAATGACGGAAGTTATAGGACTGTTGGACGGTTACTGGAACGACGGAAACTATAGGGCTGTTGGACGGTTACTGGAATGACGGAAGTTATAGGGCTGTTGGACGGTTACTGGAATGACGGAAGTTATAGGGCTGTTGGACGGTTTCTGGAATGACGGAAGTTATAGGACTGTTGGACGGTTACTGGAACGACGGAAGTTATAGGGCTGTTGGACGGTTACTGGAATGACGGGAGTTATAGGGCTGTTGGACGGTTACTGGAATGACGGAAGTTATAGGACTGTTGGACGGTTACTGGAACGACGGAAACTATAGGGCTGTTGGACGGTTACTGGAACGACGGAAACTATAGGGCTGTTGGACGGTTAGTGGAATGACGGAAGTTATAGGGCTGTTGGACGGTTACTGGAATGACGGAAGTTATAGGGCTGTTGGACGGTTTCTGGAATGACGGAAGTTATAGGGCTGATGGTTGTGGATTCCAGATGACAAGGGGTGATTGGTTTACTCTTTCTGACGAGATGGGGCGGCTATCAGACGTTTTGTTTGACAGTTTTGCAGTTCACACCAGATGACACGTGACTTTTTTGTTCATTTTTTCCTGACACTTTGAGGGTATCTAATATGTTGTGCTAGATATTTCCTGACATGTGAAGACCTTTAATTCCCTGACAAGTAATCAGTGTTGTATTTAATATATTGTGTGCATTGTGACACTTTTCACAAATACTTATATTTTCAGTTGGACGTTTTCATGGAAAGATGTCCGTTAGCAGTTTACACGAACTTTTAAGCACTTTAATCATTGTGTGACTTATCTTGTGAAGGTAGACTAAAGCCTTGCTTGCCGACACCAGAAAAGGATAACGGACATTTTGAATGTTGAAGACACCACGGTTGTGCTAGGAGATAACATTCCTAACGTGTAGCGAGACTGTTGGATTAGGTACCAATTGCAGATTCTGTTTATGTACCAATTGCAGATTCTGCTTATGAATGTATCAACATACGTTAGGATTAACGCTGTAAAATTTCTGACACCAAGTGTTTTGTTGAAACATTTCACGTCGCTTTGGGAATTCAAAGTGTCGCTTGACGTCTTTCAGTCAATATATTGCGAAAGCCGTTTAGGCTCAATAGTGTAGAAGGAATAGTTTCCGCTTAATTAAGTGTTTTCGCTATATATACAAGTGTCCGGTTACTTTTAAAGACTGTTATTTTACTTTGGCCTATTCCAAACTGAAATTTAGAGTAGTTTACACAATAGCAATAGTAGATTTTTGATATTTGAAAAGATTGATGTTCATAAGAATGAAAAACCTCTCGGATATATAAACTTCTACATGTTACCTGGTAACATTTACATAGTCTTTTATAAGTAGTCACTTCTTATGAATAATCTTACAGCTTCCCAAAGAATTGTTAAAGTTAGAGTGCCACTGAACACGGTTTTAGAGTCACTCCTAATTATATATAGCAATGATATCTCATAGATTCCCTGTTCATACTGCATTACATTGCAGTAGATTCGACTGAGAATTTAGCAGAAATGGAGCAAGTTGAACGTTTTGACTTAGAATAACGAAAACTTCTGTCTGATACTATAGAATAATTAATCTTATTATCGACCCTATCTTCTTAACCATTTTTTTCACTTTTCAGCATTTCATGAGGAAAACGTCATTCTTTTTATGAACAAATGACATTTTGAATGTCTTCCAGATTCAGTCCATTCAAAATTATTTAGCATATACATATGTAGATAGCTTGATCTCTTACCCTAACCCTACCCAAAGATCGAAACATCACCATTTGCGCAAAAGTGTTGATTTTTGACATTGATGTGTATCACCCCAATGACTTGTTGAACGATAGTGGACATGGGAGACCACCATGTAACACTTCAAACCTTCATGTAAACATAAGTCTTTCCTAATATATAACAACCCCTGGTACATGTTCTTGAATGACTATATCTGTCTATCATAATTAGAACATTTAATATAACAGTAAAAGTGAGCTGAAGATTTTTTTATCGTTAACAATATTAGCATGCTTAATTATCCTTATATAAATACCTTTAATTTATGATTTTGGTTCTAGTTGGCAACTTTAAATACTTTTTTTATGACCATTTTAACCCTGATTTCGCCCGATTACCTCACTGTTTTAAACACTTTTATATTTATATACCGTGAAACTGTGTCTCTCTGATATTGCCTCTTCTTTCTCTTCCCCTTCCTGCCTTAGCCATACTTTTCTTCTCTTTTTTTCTAAAATGTGAGGACATGTATTTATGATGTGGGTTTGTATGTGTGTGAAGGTGTGTAAGTGTGGATGTGTGTGTAATATAAGTGATAACTATTGACAATATGGATGTGTATAATTTTGAAATGAAAATGAAGTAATCATACGTACAGGTAACTATATAACAGTATAAATGAGTGGATTGATGATGATGATGATGATGATGATGAAACATGTTATACATCCTTATGTATGTATATTATGTTGAGTGTAAAAGCGAGTGTGTATATGTCTGGTCTTTATGTAATTTACGCCAAGTAAACTAAAAAAAAAAAAAAAAAAAATAGAAATAAAAGATAATGATATAATTATTATAAGCTCATAACTTGTTTTTCTGTCTCAACATGTAAAAATATGTCTGTTATTTTGTTGTTATATTGAATAAAATATTTTAAAAATAAAATAAAATAAATTATATGATAGTAACTATCTTCAAACAATACCTTATATACACCATATATGCAACTATATCCAGTTGTCCTTGACATTACTTTCTATATTTTCTACTAAGACGGAGACTTAAACACCTAATACAGTCCCGATCTCACAATGAGAGGCACATGTGCGGGTTGTAACGTTGTCTTTAGGAGAGACATTAAAACCAAGAAATCTCCTAGAAATATAAGACTTCCCCAGCACAATTGGTTGTTTGATGTTTTCAAAGCAGAAGGCAATAACTTTACTACCGATGATCAAGAGATTGATAAGTGTGTTTAGTGTTTTAAGAATTATCAGAAAAGAAAGCCAAAACTTAAGGGTCAAAACGTTGGTGTCGATGATGATACGTGGGGAAACATCCCACTATTATCTATAGAGGGTCCATTTTATGGCCAGTCTTAACACGCAAAATGCACACTATATATGAAGAGTTTAAAAAAAAACAAAACAAAAAAAAAAAAAAAACGTGACCA